CAATGTCCCCCACCCCGAACACACACACACACACACACACACACACACACACACACACACACACCAGTCTAGCTATATCCCAAGCAGATCGCTGTTAAAGCAAGGACCTTGGAAATACAGAATATCACAATTCCTTTCTTGATTATTGAGCTAGAGGTCAATGAAGTAAGGCAGGCAGTTGTATGTACCGTCTGGAAACCTAGCTGATGAAAAGGTGTATTTCTTTGATTCATTTAACTGACTATACTCCAGGCTTCAAGTGCTTACAGACGCCTCTTCGCCTAAACTCAGATTTAAGTCAAGACTCACTGCTTTGTGGTTCTGTTCTGAAAAGCTATTCTCGTTCAAGCTTTGCCACACAGAGGAAAGATGCTCTTCTAAGTGGAAGTGAAGGGAACCCTGAGGTGAAACTGCACACATGCAAAGGATTCCATGCCTCTTGTCACTCACCTGGAACACCCTTAGGAACCAAGTTTCTCTGTGACTATGTCTTTCTCTCCATACATGTGCGTGTATGAATGTGTGTGTGAATGCACACACGTGCATATGTGCATGTCTTATGTAAAAGGACCCCCCGGAAATGGCCAGGACAGGGAGAGGCTCTGGAGAAGAAAAATATCAAAAGGCTCAGGAAGGTAAGTTTTCTTTTGGATTTCCTCACTTTGATGCCTGGAAAATCTTACATTTGTTACATGTTGTTCAGCAACATGTTGGCTTCAGCACATTTTATAGAAAAGAATCTTGAACCAAGTGTTAAGTTCTGAATCCAAGTTGGCTAAAGGCAGAAAAGAGACTTACAAGCATGCACACAAGGTAGAAGACAGACATCTGACATTCAGGTTTTGCCCGTTCAAAAACAAAAGAAAACAAAACAAAAGCAAAAAAAAACCAAAAAAACCAAAAACCAAAAAAAAAAAAAAAACAAAAAAACTAAACTAAACTTTGTGAAAGTTCTTTCGCAGTATTTATTTAGTTGATCTATTGCCCTAGCAATAGAAAGCACAAGAGTGTGCAGCCAAGAGTAAATGGTTTACTTTGGGCTGAATGCAAACTATTTTAGATAAATGGACTTTAGAAAACCTCGTTAGTGAAGCTAGTATTTACCTTCTGCTCGGCTTGTCACATGTCACAGCATTTGTCACTGGTGGTGATCGCTCTCCTCACCAAATATGGTCTGGTGATGACACAACCTTCTGACATTATTGCCTTCCAGAGACAGTGCTACTTCAATGCAATGCACTTCATCCAAACACATACAAAATGGCCTACCCTTTCAAGATCATGACATTTACATTATCAGTACGTTTAAACCATTTAACTCCAAGCTCAACTTTACAGTAATGTACCCACCTCTTTTGATAGTGAATTCATAATAGGATTTTTTTTTTCATTGAAGCAATTCTTACTCTTTTCGAAGAAAACAGTGTCCTACGGGCAAGTGCACATCATCTACGTCTAAGCTACACATATAGACATATGTGAAATTTTAGCTAAGGTGTGTTCTGTTACCTTTAGCCTATGTAATGGGGAGAGTGGACTAGATCATCTAGAAGGTTCCTTTCAGCACCAGTTTCCTATCTGCAAGCATAGCAGAGTATTGTTAATAGTGTCAGGGGTTGGCTGTCTCCCATGGGGTGGGTTTCAGTTGGGCCAGGCATTGGTTGGACATTCCCTTAATCTCTGCTCTATCTTTATCTCTGCACATCTTGTAGGTAGGGTAAGTTTGGGTTGAAGGTTTTGTGGGTGAATTGGTGTTCTCCTCCAGCCACTAGGAGTCCAGTCTATTTAAGGGGTGGCTTCTTCAATCTCTATGACCCCTGTTAGCAACAAGCAAGCCTAAGACATTTGATCAATTTCTCTGTATATGGTATACTTTGCATACAATGTTTTCTAGCTAGAATCTGATTGTCTCACTCATTAATGGCAAATAAGTCGAGGAGTAGTGAATTTCTTCAACATCTTTGAAGCACCAGGTCCAGCATCCCACATATTTGTGTCTCATACCTTGATGGCCAAGTAAATATTTTCTCCACTATAAGTCGATCAAGAGTTTAGTTTGCAATTTCCTTATAATTAACCAAAATTCATTAGCAGTCAGGATTTTAGTTCAGTTCTGAAACCAACATGTTGTTGATTAATATTTAACATTGATTTATCTTTTTGTTAAACAGCGATTTTTCCTAAACCAGCTGTATACCCAAATCACCACAGAGACTAGGATTTATTTAATTAACCTAGAGCACAATGCTGGGCAATAATTATTCCATCCTAAACCTCCAAGCCTGCATAACTTCCTCCCATTCAGATTTCCTACATTATACTTGCTTTTTAGTGATATTTTAGGTCCGGTTCATCTCTCCTGGTGTTTCCAGATCCTTTCCCCTTAGATCTCACTTCTCTCTCTTCCCACTAGCTTCTTTCTCCTCCCCTCCAGACCAGGATGTCCTACCCTATTCTCTCCATTGCTCAGCACTGTCTGGTTGTTTTATTGGCAATACAGAGAACAAATGGTAGCATATTTACACAAACTTGAGAGAGTGATGCTTAGAATAAGCACCACAATGCAACGTCTGGATTGAAACCAGATTGTGGGGTAGAGAAATCAGCATTTGAATGAACAAGGGTGAATTGTATACATTCCACAAGAACATTATACCAACACCAACATAACTGCATGCATTTGCATTTTCTTGTTTCTAATGTTATGTGCCAGGCAGGACAGGATGCACTTATCGCAGTACATACGGGAGTCAGAGGACAATTTGTGGGAGTCAGCTCTCTTCTTCCATGATGTGAATTCAACTCAGCTCATCAGGTCTGGCAGTGCCTCTCCCTGGCCTGTTGTCTAACATCTGACACTCTTCCTCAAATAAAATGTAGGCAAATTCAAGGCTTAAACTTGAAAAAAGAAAAGCATAATTTTCTTGCTGGTATGTTGTATAACCTTATTCAATTTACTGGAATCATCTCCATTTGTTACAGAAGATGTTGGCACACAGTTGGGATTCTTAAAGACCAAAGCTGAATTTATGCTTTCTGGGTCAGGCACTGCCATACAGTTCTAGATGTTTTTATCTCAGGTTAACACTCCTGGAAGATAGATCTGTGAGGAGTATCCTGGCTAGTGGAACGAAAAACATCTTGAAGTAGAAGGTAACAGGTGAAAAAGAAGTCCTGTCTCTGACTAGTGTCCCTCTGCCCTGAAGCTTTTTAATATCTTAATTTCCTCAAATCATGAATCTTTTGTTAAATACATGGAAACAGTAATATCGCATTAACTTCTGTTAAAATAAAAAAAAAAAGTTGACATCTTTGTGATCGACAGAATGATACCAAGATAGGGCACTCACTGTGCAAAGCTGCATGTGGCAGCGACATGCATGAAGAAGAGACATTGGAAACACTCAAAAAAGGCTTCCCATTTCTCAGATCCGGCTTGTGCACAAAGAGCTTGTTAATAAGAGCCTTAGTAAGCAATGCACTGCCACCCTAGGCTTCTCTTGCCCTTCTTTGGCCTCTTCTAAATACCCATACTTCCCTTTCAAACTATAGCCACCTGGTGCTTGTCAACAGTTTAATTTTGATAACTATTTTAATTGCATCATGTTCTTTTACAAAAACGAGTGGGAAAGTTGAAAATTACTCTAAGTAAAGGTCTTGAAAATGATACAGCTAAGCCCAAACCAAAAATAATGTGGTCTCAAAATTGCATTTAACCTCAATGAGACTTTGACCAGTCAACTGGATGTCACACACAAAGGAAAATGAAAGCACACAAGCATAGGGCATTGGGAACTTACCACCAATTACTGGATTGGGGTGAATGAAATTGGTTATTTAAAGACATGTTTTCGCTCTGATAATAAAACACCACTCTATAGCATATGTCAAATGTTCAATCCCCACACAAATCTAAGTAAACACTGGAGGCTCTGTGTGTCGGGAGATGGGAAAAAATCAAAAGAAGGCTAACATCAAATTCTTCTGCACTGTGATTTTGAAAATTAGTGAGAGGTTTATCAATCCTATTTCCTCCATCCCAACCTAGTGGAATTACTTTTGAATTTTAGTTCAACTTTTACTATTGATATCTATGAATATAAGACAGGTAACAAGTTTTTTAAAATAAAAATCCTTGCAATTTCTGAGCAGTTTGTAAATATGGTTAAAAAGGCACAGCATAAAGGCTTTTAAATCCCCCAAACAGGACTCATTGGGGGTGGAAACTAAGAGCCTCACTAGATTAGTTTTCAAATGCCCAACATTAAACTCATAATTTAAACTCTAATTATTGTAAAAATAACACTAGTTTTCATTCCTGTATCTGGAAACCTAACATACTCCCAATTCTAGATCAAGACTACTCATGGAGATGACATAGGTAGGCTACCTTTGTGGACCTAACTTCCTAGCAATGTGGACCCAACTGTTGCAATGTCCTTCCAGAAGGGCTGGTACCTGTATTCCAACCTATAGGGTCAAAGCAGGGAGAACTGCTCGCTTTCAGTGGATTTACTCTAACTTAGGTAGTGTATTACTGTGGAATCAGTTGCTACTTAGAGTATCTTACTGTTCATAATGATTCAGAAGCAAGTAGCTGTCCTAAAGCCAGCTCCCCTACTACTGAGACTTGTCCCAAGCATTCACATAAAATTTTAATAACTGTCAGTCCAGGGAACATTTGTGTATAAATGAAGTAAACTTTTTAGTTCTCAGAAGGGCTGGAGTGAGGTGTTGCTATCGGCAGTTGTTTATTTGTAGTTGAAACTGGCACCAATAGTCAGGGTGGATGTTGAAAACTCTATGGTCTGTATAACAATATCTCAAAGCAACAAAATAGTTGACAGTGAGTTTGGGTTCCTACATGTTAAGGATACTGGCGTGAGGCAGGAAGCAAATTGGATAAATTAATATATATAGGAACAGTTCTGATAAAACTTAGAACTGAGATGAAATACTTGTAATATATAGTCTGTCTAATTAGATGAATCCACACAGTATTGTATTTAAATACTTTTATTTTCATTTTACAAAGAAAGCAACAGTGTTTGCAGTTAAACATGCTGTTCAATCAGTGCTGGTCATATGCAAAACAAGTACAAAGAAAAATAAGCATTTTCCCTTTACAAGTAAAACAACACAATTTGCATATACAATATTAAACATACTATCTTCAAAATTTTCCACAAAAGACAGATTAGAATACAGATTTAGAATTCTACCCGCAAACTCAGACTGAATAAACTGAAGGTTTCTACGCTGTTTAAATTAAAAAAAAAAAAAAGTAATACCTTTGTAAATTTCCAAGTAATCACTTTCCAAAGTATTTGCAAGAAAGAGACTCTTCCTCCCAACCACAAGGAACACTTGGCTTTAATCAAGACAGCCGACTACAGTTTGACTCAGAGTGATTGGCTGATGAATGCAAATGCTCCAATTATGTGGCAATTCTCATTTCATACACACACACACACACACACACACACACACACACACACACACAAAGGATATTATTGTACTGATGATTTATACAGCCCAACTTCTGGAGCATTTCTTTTTTTTTGAGCTAAGCCATGACCTTTACTTCCTTTGAAGTATTTCAAATTAAAAACGGTTCAAAAATATCACTAATGACTACCATGACTAACTCCAAAAAGGTGGCCCTTTCTCTTTTATTTATGATCAAAGGTAAATGTGTCATGAATAAACTTTTTCCTACAGCAGCAGGTATAAGTAACAGCAATGTTACTAGGCTAATTTTCCAACACATTCCTGAGAGTTTGATATGGTAAATAATGTCTTTGAGAATTTCTAGGAGTCCTATCTATCACTCAGTCTTTCTTAAATGGATATGGGAAATCTTCCTCATGGAGTACCAGTAAAAATGTGAAAACAAGCTAAGATGCTGGAAGGACAGGAAGTTTTCACATGCATTTTCTCTAATGTAGACAAATGTGTAGTTGTAACATTTACCATGTGGTGGATAAAGAGACAATGTGAAATATAAGAATTCTGAGACCAACACAGAGGCTCGGGTACATGAAATGCACAGAGTCACAAAGCTAATGAGAAAGCAGCATTAGCTTAAATTTGTGAGTGCAACTTAAGATAGCATCTAACAACAATGAAGGCACTGGAGGCAAAGGCAAAACAGAACAGGAATGGTTCAGTTAAGAGAGAACTGGGGAGAGAGATGCAGCCACACCGAAGAGTTCTGGGTAAGAAAGGGCCAGTGTGCCCTGCCACATGCAGATATTCTAAGATAGAAAGGCTTGCCCCTGAAATTCTTTTGGGACCATGTTGTCTGTCAGTCACCAGAGGAGCAGCGATCATTCAGATGATCCATTCTAAGAATCACAATGACTTCTCCTGGGTACTCGAGAAGATTCAACAGAACTCTGAAGAGAACTCTGAACTCCAGGCCTCACAGTCAGATTACTCCTAAGGGCTCTTCAAGTCAGTTGTAGGAAACACTGATCCTGGTCATAAGCTTCAATAGCACACCTCCATCAAAATACAACTTTACTCAGCACTTCCCTCTGTTTTTCTGTTTTTTGGTTTTACAAAACCAAAGCTCACCTTTCACAATCTCAGTTTAAATAAATACTGGAAATGCTGGCTCTAGTTAGTTTCCACAATACAGCCGTATCTGAGTGTCTTCTGCCATCTTATCTGCTGCATGCCCACTGCCACTATCAGACATGGAATCATAGGGCTACAATTCCAATCAGATACCTAAGATGTAAGGAACCTTTGTTTTTTCCTAGGTGCATGTAGAAACCTTCAAGGGAAAAAGTATTAAAGGGAAACGACAAGGGAAAGAGAGAAAATTAAATATGCATGCATATATTTGCATCTTAAAAGATATATCCAGAGAATAACCAGAAATAAACAGAAAACAACTGTACTACCTACTGCTAAGTAAGGAACTATGTATGAAAAGATGTGCCCTGTCATATTATGAAACTAATTTTCATTATGTCCTTTACAGTTAGGCAAAGGACAGAATACAAAATGAAATAAAGAAATGAAAACTTTATATTAAGAAATCTACTATCAAAAATATAAATCCAAAACAATTAAGTAAATAACACACAAGTGCTCTACTAACTATTGCCAATACAGGCATAGGGGAGGGGGAGAATGGGAGATATGTCTTACACTGACCCTTAATTTTCACTAGGTGCCCATTTATCCATGCAAAGGACTATGGGCCTAATCAGTACCATGAAAAAATATATTTTAAAATCATGCACTCATCCCTTTCCCCAACCACTACCCACCTAAGTAATTCCCCCCCCCAAAAAAAAAAAACCAAACAGGTTATAAAAGTATTGCCTTTGTAGGCAACAAGGAAAAGGGAGCAGGATAGAGTTATCATACGTCTGGACCTCAATGTTTCATTATATATCTACAAATCCCAGCAAACAACTGGTGCTATGTGAAATAACATATAGAAAGTACCAACTATTTATATACTTAAAAAATATGTATATATGTATATATACACATCCAGAACACGCCCCCCCCCCCAACAAACAAAAGATAAGTAAGTAAAACATCTAGTCTACCACTGCCTACCAGGCAATGAGGGATAGGGATTGGGGAGAGTTTTCATAGAATCAATCTCAGTGTTCATTAAGTACATATTAAAAAATAGTCACACCAAGGACCAGGTTCAAAATGAACTTAACACCACAAGGCATTTACAATCATTTTCTAACAAGCATGTTATAAGCAACAAACAAACAGACAAAACAAGAAGCCAAGCCTAACAGTACTGACACACTACAGTATGGCACGGTGATAGAGTAAAGGACAGACATTCCCACATTTCTGGGTACAGACTCTTGCTTCTTTAGACAACATCAAAGCAGATTGGGAGTGAAAAACTGAAATAACTGGCAATCTTTTAAAGACATTTCAAAAAGTAAAAACCCAGAAATCTTTTACTCCATACTCTATGCCAAAGCTACACAACTATTCTACAAGCCATTGCCCAGACAGGCAATGAGGGAAGGGGAAGGGGACATTTTTCATAGAATGAACCTCAATATTCCTTATGTACCTAAGTGTCCATAAACAGATTTAGGTACAAAAGAAGTAACAACAACAAAAAGATTAAAAAATTCATATTTACATTTTAAAGTATATACATACACAAACACACACATATATATAAAGTTCCTCTGGGGGAACAGAATTAGAAAATCTATGCTACTCTATAACTATTGCCCACAGAGGCAATGAGGAAAAGGGAAAAGAGGACGTTTTCATACATCCGGACCTCCACGTCTCATTAGGTACTCATTAGACACCCATGTAAGGGATTCAGTACCAAATGAAAATATATATATATATACATATTTATATTTGTAAAGAGTATATCTCCTGCCCTTAAGTCCCCACTAAAGCTAACAGAAAAAACTGAAGAGAAAAACCTGCCTATGGGAGGACACTAAATTCAGAGTTCCACGGTTCATCAGAAACCTACAAGTCCAAGTTCAGGACAGGTACCCCCCACCCCCCAAATGCAGTGACCAAGAAGCAAAACACAATGAAACCATATGGCACCCCCCAACCCAGAGCAGCCCCTAAGCATGGTCTGTGCTACTAAACACTCTACATAGCCAATGTTAAGAGAAGGAAGAAGCTTCTCAGAGATCCCAGCTTTCCTCATAAATTCATGGAAAGGACAGGGAAACAAAGGAAGTAAAAATGCAGCAACAACATGTTCATACACTTAAAAAGTATATACTCTTGCTCCCAAACTACTTTTCCTGCCTAGCAAAAACCAACCAAGCAAACCATGACCACCCTAACTCCAAACCCAGCTATTTCAATTAACTGAAACTACTTTAAAAAGTATTGCACCCAGGCAATATTGGAAAGGGAAAGAGGACACTGTTATACATCTGAACTCCGCAGTACACTGGGTACCTTCCACTCTGAGCACCCAGTGAATTAATACAAGGTAGCAGTAAGAAATAAACATATATCCAGACATTGCATACACTTCCCTGTGTCTCCCACACTCCACTCCCACTCTATTAACATATTAACAGCTTTTATTCAACAGGCAGGAAAAGATGAGAAGTGGTGGTTCTTCACATCTAGTCTTCCATGTTTCATCAGGTATTTTCACATGCATTTAAAGGGCATAAGGCCAAATGAATTAGTAACAAAAAGCAATAGGAAGCACTACTCTACTCTCTTGTACACTCTCCCAAACAAAACAGTTAGCTCTTGCCTTAGGAGGCAACAAGAAAAAAGGTAGAATCTGCCATACTCAATCACACGGTAATTAAGTGTCTATGAAAACAAACCAGTCTAAGTGAAACATAAAAAGTAACACTGCATTTATAAAAAGCTTGAAAGGCTGAGAGACAATCTAAGTTCCTAAGACTGGAACAAAATAGTAAGCACTACTATCATTCTACTATTGCCAACACATCTGTGTGGCCTTGCATGGTTTATGTACATATCCACAAGAAGAATGTAATGAGGGTAGCAATAAGAAAGTCCAAAATAGCAGCAAAACTATTTCCACACACTTTTAAAAGAAGCTACCTTGCTCCCCTCTTGAAACCTACTCCTTTCAAAAATTAAAACCAAATTACTCTGTAACTCTTTCCTATAGCAGGCAACATGGGAAAATGAAAGATGAACACTCTTCACCAAGACAAAACTTAAAATATAAAAATATATAAAATAGATGTGTATGGTTCAAAATTATGTATCAGCCCTTCAAAAGTGCCTACAAACCCTCTAAAAGTCAATCACTTATTCTATCTATTGCCTACTCAGGCAATAAGGGATGGGGAAAAAGAGTAGATTTGTCATACTTTGGGACCTCCACTTTTTTTTGGTACTTCTTTGATATTTCAGAAATTTAAGAGCAAAATCAAAGAACACAAAACCCAGCAAAAACATACACCTGAGTTTCAAGAAATACAAATATAAGGAGACAGAACATTTCCAAAAAAAGAGAATTAATTTTGTATACAGAAAAGTAAGGCAAAGGTGAGAATATATACATTAAACCCATGATCCCAATTCTTAGAGGCCTATGTAAACCAAGCCATTCCTATGTAAACTCTGCCCCAGGACTGCAGTCCTCTGCAACAGTGCACCTGAGACGCACTGTGCCATCTCTGGAACCCACAGAACACATGGTCTTAGAGAAGCAAGCGCTCAGCAGTCTGGCTGAAGATTATCATTCCAGGTGCTTTAGATTAGGTAAGCATCTTTAAAATTCAATTCAACAACAGGCTATCAATCATTCAATGACATGAGACCTCATTTTAATTTCTTGCTCCCCAATAATCAGAAAGGACTGTTTGGTACCCAGTAAACCTGATGCAGCTGGCTTTTTATACCCAGGACTCTACTGGCAGCTTTTGTTCTAATGGCAAAGGAAATCAGCTAAGAAGAACCTGTGATAGCGAGAAAGTCTGTAAACACTGAAGTAATGACAAATACAATTTCATTTTAAAAAAACAAATAAAAGGAGACAGAAGAAGGCACAAGCATGTGGGTGGGGAGGGAATTGCCACTACTTTATTATAGCTAAACTCATACTAGTAGAGCAAACTTGTCTCCTCCAATTCCTAACTTTAATAAACTTTCAGATCTCCAAATCAATTTTTTTCCACAAACCGAGATTTCCAATTCTATCTTTCCTAATAATCAAGATGTGGCTTTCAAATTACATTCAATATACCCTTTCTCTGTAGTGAGCAGAATGCTCATTCAGCTGCTACCCAGTGATGTAAGGTCTTGGTGTGCTTACACCCAAACCACAAGCTGACCTTGTGCTTCAATCTTCCTTCTTAAAAGTACAGAGTGCAGGACTATACTTCAGAGGAGAAAAATCTGAATGCTACCAGTACATTTATCAGACTATAAAAGCCACTTCTCAGCCTTACAGACCTGACTTTGAGTTAGCTATAAGAAGTTGCACATAAAAAGGTTACCAAAACATGAAAACTTATAGAATTCTGTGGGGGAATTAACAGGAAGCCTACCAAAATTAAAAACCACTGAGGTGAATGTTATAGGTAAGTATCCTGGGAATGAAAAGCTTGTTTTACCATTGGATCAAGAGTTCCTTCTTTTTAGGCCCACACCTTCCTCAGGCTTTATTTACAACGGCACACACCACACACATTCACAATCATCCATGGAAAAAAAGTGTTATTTAACACAAGATTTGCCATACGAAGAGTTGCAAAGTCTTTAGGATCAATGCCAACATGGGCAAGTAAATCTCAAGATTGAACTGATCTTGAAAAGTAGCAAAAGTTAAACTCTGTATCAAAGTAGAATTTAGTAATACAACATGGTTAAAAAACAAAAAGGAGCAACCAAAACCTACAAGAGTATTTTTCCTTCACTCTAAAAATACAAAACCCCACTAACCTTCAGTATCAACTGAACTATCACTCATTTACCAAAAGCACGGGGAAATAAAGATCTATAATTACATATTTTACTAAGATATCAAGATGATTCTGTGATTCTCAGGAATAACATTCTCTACTCAAAAACACAAAAATGTTTATAAAAGACAAAACTGGGATCAAACACTAGGATTAAAGCAGGCTATTTTTCAGCTTGTCAGCCATTAAAGTTTTGTTATATAAAAATATTCTCATAAAATAAACTATAATTTTGTATACAACTCCACATATTCTAACTTTACAACAGCTGAATAAAAAAAGTGGCCTTTCTGTGGTCTGACCCTGTGGAGTGTTTTCAGTGTTCATAAATGAGTAATTCCCTTTTATGTACATGGACACTGTTTTCAAACAAATTCTCATGAGTTACTAAGAAGAAAACTTTTCTCCTAAGAATCAAAGAAACACAGCAATCTAGGCATAAGTCTGCATAGCTCAAAAAATTCAAGTACAGTATTTCTCCTTCAGAAGGAGTGGAGACACCTGCATCCCTTTCTAGTCACCCTCCCTCACTTTTCCTTTGCTTGATCCTTGGCTACCTTGTTTAACATAGTTTGCCCATGATAAAAGAAAAAAGCCTATAATTTTTTCAACTAAACAAAAGCACTGTTTTTAACAGTGAAAAAAGAAGCCAGAGCCCACCATATTTTCAACTTATTCCTGTTCCACATTCTCATTGTCCCTTTAAGGTACTATGGTGAACTTCAAAATAAAAAGCTTTAATTTCTTGAGGACACTATTTAAGAAATGCTTCTAATACACTCTTTAACATAAAGTAAAAACCCACACATGGTATGATTCACAGAGAAAAGGGTATGATTTGTTAGGTTCAAAAGGCAACTTAAACAAATTACATTCTTGGTGAGAAAGTAATGACAAAAACATCAGTGCTTAACAGAAAGCTTGCCACAGCTTATGAATAGCCTCCCCAGCAAGAAGTCTAACCAGGTATACACCATTGGGGGATACTGGCATTCCTGAATAAAATAATTAAGATTAACTCAGTTCAGAACCTACATAGTGCCATAAAGATGAAGCAAAAAGTGTTAGATATTTGGAAAACTGAAAATTTGAGTCTGTTTTTTCAGCTGTTCAACTTAAGAGAAACATGAAAAATTCTATAGAATTTTCTGTAGGAACTATTATTCTATAGACATAACTAGGACTTCAGGACCCTAGTCAGGGTAGACACCCCAGCTGAGGTCACTTGTCTATAGCTGCATCTTCAATGCTTTTGTCACTGCACTCTTCCAGGCTAACGCCCACATTCCAGGTGTGTCTATCAGCAAGAAGCAACAAACTGCTGACCAATCAGCAACCTACAACTACAGCTGTTCCTTCAGCAGACCTTCCTTGGTTGCACTATGCCAGTAACACTCTGGACACTAAGAAATACAGCAGAATTTCAAATCTGACTTTTTTCTCCATGTGTATGTCAAATAAAAATTACTGTTTTTGTATATGGTTGGCATACAGGTGAATATAATTTTGTAATAAATAACTATTTGCTGCCTAAAGATTTTTCAGAAAAGACATAAAAAATACAGTTGGGCCCTGAGCTAACTAGAACTCCTAACAGTGCAAACAACTCTGCAGCAGGCCTGCCTTCACCTCAACCTTTGCAAAAGCAGCAGAGCTGTGGGCACCAGAAGGTCAGCTGTGAGTACTAGAGCCACCACGTCAGCGCTTTCAGGTTCCTCGCCATCCACTGGATATTCAGCTGAATAACTTCCAAAGCCTCCTGGACACACCGAAGCTGCAAGGTTGCCTCTGACTGATTTTCAAAGAAGGCCTGGACCTGCAAGTTCCACAAAGAAATATTTTAAACAAAGAAAGGCTGGGCCTCCTGAAGTAAGTTTTAACTATGTCATGGTAGCTCCAACATCTGACATGTAGGAAGTAGGAGGAGCATAGTAAAGTAAAAGAGTAGCCCTATACTTTACCATCTAAGGTATTTGCCTCAATCAAGTGAAGTAATCCTAAAAAAAACAAAAACAAAAACAAAAACGAACTTTTCTTCCCTGCTGGTGCCTCTACTCCCATATCTACTATTTCTTCTTTCCTTATTATGTCTTAAAATAGAAAAAGAACTCTGAAGAAAAAATGAGTCCTTATGGAAGAAGAGGGAGATAGAAAGACCTGGAGGGGACAGGAACTCCACAAGGAGAACAACAGAGCCAAACTACCTGGGCCCAGGGGTCCCTGCGGAGTCCGATACTACACAGAAGGAGCTTGCATCAAGAGGACCTAGAACCCCCTGCTCAGAGGAAGCCTGTAGGCTGCTCGGTTTCCAAGTCAGTTTCCTAGTAAGGGGAACAGGGACTGTCTCTGACATGAACTCAGTGGCTAGCTCTTTGATCACCTCCCCTTGGGGGTGCAGCCTTGACAGGCCATAGAAGAAGATGATGCAGCCAGTACTGATGAGAAATGATAGGCAGATAGAAGAGGAGGAGGTGCTCCCCTATCAGAGGCCTAGGGAAAGGGCATAGGGGGAGGAGGAGCGTGGGTGGGAATGGGAGGAGATGAGGGAGGGGGCTACAGCTGGGATACAAAGTGAATAAAGTGTAAATAAATGAATGAATGAATAAATAGAAAAGAGAAAAAAAGAGTCAATCTAAAATTAGGCTTGATAAATTCACTTTGAATGGAATTTCTCAAAATAATTTCACTACTACTAACATTATTTGTATTGAGGAGACAGGAAGTAGTGCTGACAATGGAAGCAGAGCTTCACCTCCGGCTATACATGCAACCATTTAAAAATAATCTCAATGCAGAATCATTAGCATTGGTGAAAGAAAACTGAAGGGATTAGAATTAGCACAGCAAGTCTCCACTCCCTGCTAGTATTTTGTATAACCAACCTCAGACAAATGTGTCTTTGTTGAAAACAAGTGAGTAGATCCAGCAACGATACTTTGCATGGTATAGGAGCCCAGATGGAACCTGAAGAAACACAAATATAACACACACACACACAAAAAAAATAATAATGAAGCAGCTGCTGACAACCAAAGCACTGTTCTACAGTATGAAGGAAATGCTTTAATGTAAAGGCAGAGTGGGGTCTTCCTTTTGGAAATTCAGTTCAAAAGCTAGGGCATCTTTCACACTTACTGCCACTGGGCAGGAAAGGAGGTGGAGGCTTGGGATATTCTGATAGAATTTTAATCCGAGTCTCAAAAATCAGCTATATCCAGAAAAATAAATATTGCTTTACGAGAAGAAGAAAACACCTATATGTGCTACCTAGCTAAGTGTGATTCCTTAACTGATGTCTTGGCAATCAAGAAATATTTCTAACACATATAACCAAGCAGCTTCTCTGAAATAGCCCGTGGTCATGCTAGGTCCACTAGCTTATTAGGTGTCCCTGGCCTTGATCAGCATTTCAATGGAATACCACTGTTACACAGTGTAATGCTTATAAATACAGAAAGCTGCTTCCTTAGACGTGGTAGGACAAATCATAATCGCAGGGAGCCAGCAAGGAACAATGAGCCTTTTGCAAATGCATAGCCTGAGAATATTAAAGTCATTTCCCAAGAAACTTACTTATGTACAAGCTTACTCCAGTTTTCTTTAACAAAATCCCATGCCAGCAAGTGTCCAGGAAAGTGTCTGCCCACTGTTCTAATGATAAGTGACAGCTTCTGTGTTCGGATGATATCACCATCAAGGCTACTTTCCATTAACCTGAAAAAGGAAACAAGATTTAGCCTTCAAAATAATTGTTTTTGAAGTGATAAACAAACTGATATTAGCACCGGGTTTCAACGTAAAGCTCTTTATCAATTCACAGTAAATCAGGTTGGACTAGGCTAAGATTAGTTCCATGTTGAAACTTGCCAATTATTTACAAGTCATGATACATTCATGTTTTGTCACAAAATGATTTATGAAATATCAAGGAAAAAATCTCCAACTTTCTACAGTTTTCTGGTTTTCAAGTCAGGAATTCTCAGCCTGTGTATTTCTGTATACAAATATACAGATCAGTACTGATACTACTAAACAAGAAGAAAAATAGTACAAAGTGGACAAAAGTATTTTACATTGTACTCTCTATGTTAAGGTGCTGTTTGAATGTTTATAATGGAAATTTATAGTATACTGTGCTAAGGACAGAGGCTGGCCAGTGATTTAAAGATAATGCTTATTTACAAAGTGTCATTTAGCAAGTGGGTCTGGGTAGGGGCCAAAGATGTCTCCTGGAGACTGTTAGGATTTAGCTGAGGGGATTTATATAAGAGAAGAACCAAGCTAAGATGATCCCCCTGGTATGGCTTTTGCTGTCTATGTCCTACGCTGAATGCACCTTTGATTTCACTTGGCCACTTGAACCTTTACTCTGCCTCTTTCTTTCTTTGTGTTGTGTCTCACTGCCTTTCTTTCACCTGCATGAGGCTCCCAATTGGACATTACGAAGTATAAGCAATAAATTCATAGGAGGATAAAAATATACAGTTCTATAGCTGTCTATTTTTGAAGTGTTTGCGTTTTCAAAGTGACAGCATGAACAGATCATATATAGTACCAGCAGAAGATGGGGTTTATGATTATTAACATCTTCAAATCTCTCAAACAAAGTGTATTCTGCACATCTGCCAAGGGTCAGTCCCCAAGAAGAAGTCAAGCTCATGCAAACTCTGCACATACTGTCCAAGTCAGCAAGTAGTCAGATTGAGAACTCAGGAGAAAATGGGCTCCTGTCTTACAGAGCAAAGAGCTTTCATCTTTTGGTTTCCTTCTACTAAGTTCTTTGAGTGGTTCCATACCAGTGAAGTTTCCGTACATCCTCTGAGCTGGCAAGGGCTTCAAGTATTTTGTTCTTTTCTGCTTCAGAGCCCATGGAGGAATACATTCTTAACAGGAACAACCAGCCTTTCTCAGTTCTTGCTCCAACTTTGAACACAGTGGTCATGACATCAGTAGGCAGGCTATAAGAGAGATAATGAAGCACAAGAATAACAAGGAAAATATATTACTTCAAAGGCAAGCAGTTGACTGGTAGTGTTTCTGGGTTCAGGTTAAATAATAACTGTAAATCTTCATACACTTTATAGAGTTAATTCAATGATTGCTACTTTCCTATAGTTATGACTTTAAAGAACGTAAGTTCAATATAATAGTTATTTACTGAGAAGACACATGGCTGCATACCGAGGAGGAATAGAGTGAGGAAGGAGACACACTCTTTTCTCTGTAGGTGATTATGCGCTATGCCAAAGTATACACAGTAACTATACACATTATAATACAGTGTGCTAAGTTTTATGGTATAGATAAAGCAGTATATACATGTTTGGGAGACTGGGTGTACAAAGGGAATGAAACATAGCCAACTGCCTTTATTAAGATCTTAGATCTAGGAAATATTTCAGACCATTATTCAAATTACCCATTTCAACTTTGCAAATGAAATTTTAATCATTGTTCCAAAATTCTCAATAAGGAGACTGGAAAGAATTCTACATTCAGTAGCATGTCTTCTAACTACACACTGCACCAGTCATTTCACTTCTAAATTAAAGGAGACATCTCTCATAACCTGAGAATTATCTCCTATCAAAAACTCAGAAAATTGGGGTCATGGAGATAGCTCCATCATTTAAAGTACTCACCATATAAGCCGGAGGACCTGAGCTCAGCTACTACCCAGCTAGTACCCATGAGTACAACAACAGAGCTGAGATTGGGAGGATGCACTGTGATTCCAATGCTGGGGAAATGGGGATAGCTGAGCAGAAGTCGGTGGCAGAACATGTGTCTAACAAGCATGGGACCCTGGGTTAGATGCTCAGCACCATAGGGGGAAAAGTTTTAAATACAAAGAAAGCAGAAAAGGAGGCCACGTATGGAAGTGCTTATTTTAATGTCAGCATTCAGGAGGCAGAGGTAGGCTAAGAAGGGCTACACAGTTAGACCCTATCTCAAAACCAAACCCACCAAATATAACCAGAAAACACACGTTGGCAAGGATATAGAAAAACTGGAATGTTTCTACTCTGTTGGTGAAAACATAAAATTACACAATTACTATGGGAAACTACGATGGGAAATATCATTGAAGTTCCTCAAAAATTAAAAATGGAATGCTAGGGGAAATTGTTCAATCAGTAAAGAGCTTGCCAAGCAAGCATGAGTACTTGAGTCTGATCTCCAGAACCCACATAATAAAGTCAAGTGCAGAAACAGACAGATCCCAGGGGCTCTCTAGGGATCTAACCAAGGCTATTCAGTGAACACCAGGCCAGTGGAGGCCACTGTCTCAAAAAAAGTGTTATAAGGATTGACATCAGAGATGGTTTTCTGGCCTCCACACACATGTGTACTCACACAAATACATACATAGATATATGTATATGATAAAACAAAACAAATAATAAATTCTCTATGATTCAGCAATACCACTTTTGGATATATACCAAAAGAATTCAAATCAGGTTTGCAAGAGTTAAAAACTGTATGCTTAAATTCATGGCAGTAATATTTACAATGGGCAAGAAGTAGAAGCAATTCAAAGGTCATAAAAAATGTATTAAATAGGGCATGTGCATACAGGGGGATATCATTCCTTCCTTCTTTAGGAAGTAATAAATGGAAACCATTCAAATAGATGTGCACTTCACCTCTGAGTTCCATTGGATGCCATCCAATTATCAAACAGCTTTGTAGCCATAGAGGTACAGTTCTCTAGGCTGTGGGCACAGGCAAATTCCAGTAAGGCTGACCGAAGCTCTCGCATGGATGGCATGCCCTCGTCAGTCCAAGTCTGCTGCTGGATTTGGTTCTGGAGCAATTTATATACTCTGGTCTACAAAGATGAAAATTTAAGGTACTTATCAGAAGCAAAGAAACAATGTGTGGAATCACATTGAGAGACACAGAAGCAACAGTGGAAACGGCACTTTGAAGCAGAGAAAGCCTGACACTTGAAGAAGCTTACTCTAAGCCCTAAGCACTCATACCCTAAAATCAGAGACCATGGTTTTGCTAGCCTCCTACACCAAATGATTGAGAAAGAATCTCAAAATATTTTATGTATATTTGAAAGTATGATAAACATTTTACTACGATCATTCTATTTTCATAAAAATCTTGTTGTTGTAAATATGACTATTTAAATAAGTGATTCAGGTTTTGTCTTCAATATTGTGTATATTAACAGCAGGTGCCTCCACTTGTCTTTTCCTCTTATGGAATGAAATATACTTCTCATATGGTTTCTAGATTAACCTTTTAAAGTTAAGGTAATTAAACAACTACCACTAATTTCATAAGGAATGGCAGGCAAAAAGAGGAAGAGAATAAAGAGATCTGTCATATTAGCTACCAATACTATATATGCAATAAAATACAGCAACAATGACAAAATTACTTTAAAAATAAAACAGAAAAAAAATACTGACACTTTGCTACATCTTACATTTCGATTTACTGCTTTAATTTTACAGCAATACACTCAGGAAGGTTCTTTCCTAAGTTAATGTCATTTCTTAAAAGAGAACTGTCAGCTTTATTGCAAAGGCTTATCCCACCAATGCTTCATATGAAGGAGAATGACAGATTTTTAAGTTATGAAACAGGAATATGACTAAAACCAGTCATTAACTTCAGATGTGAACAATTTAACATAATTCAAATGTCCCCTCCAGACCTTTCCGACCAAACCAAAGCAAAGTCCACAAAATACTGTATGCATCATATACTGTTTTTAAGACAGAATGACAAATTAATAAAAAGTGTTCTGGTTATAACAACGTAAATATTAATCAGACACCAATATTAAACACCAATACATTTGAATACTGAATTCAAGGGCTTGGAAATGTCTGCCATCCCACTTCCTAACTACAAAATGGTTTCACAATTTGATAGTTTTGAGGCAATCAAAATCCCCGAAGACTAAAACAGGAATTTTAATGTTTTTCCTCTTTATGAATTAAAGCCCGATTACTATTTAAAAATTTAAGGAGTTACAGCACTAAAAGAGTCCAAGTCTTAGAAATAGACATTAAGTTTCCCATCCTTGCCCTTTAGTCGTCAATCTCATGGATCTTACGCTATATTATGTCTCAAACAAACACCTGCAGCCACCAATGGTGAAGATGCAACAGGAGAGAGGTTACTTGAACACCAAAGGAAAATACTACAAAGACCCAATCTACTATTTTAACAAAGGGATAGCTTGAGCTACTCACCAAGTGTCTCCTAAGAGTAATCTTAAATAGAGTAGAGAAAGGAACACAGAAGAAGGGCTTCTACCACCATGAAACTAACTAGCCATACAGTTGGAATAGGCAGATGGTCTGGCTCCCTTTAGGCTATTTTTTAAACCCTTCAAATCAGTGTCCTTCAAAAGTGGTAAAAATGAGTGATGTGCACTAGTCTTGTCTGTTACTACCCATACCACATAATACTGTACCTTCTCCCAATTTCTATAACCTTAATTGGGACCAGTGTCTCCGGAGATATAATCAAGTAAAAATGAAGCTAAACAGGGTTACTATGGGCTCTAACCTAAGGGTTGGTACATCTATGACAACTGGTACATCTGGGTACAGAAACACAATACAGTACTTTGTGAACAGAGACAGGACGGGAGTGACAGGGTTTAAGGAAGGAATGCCAAGGATTGGCAGTATTCAGTTTAAGCTAAAGGAAAGGCAGGTAGATTATCCTTTACAAAATACTCTACCCTGCCAGCCCCTTGACTTTAGCCTTCTCCTTGTCCAGAGGCATAATACATAAATCTCTGCTCTCTTTGTACACTACAACTGTAATAATACAGTAAGAGCATCCTAGGTAACTATTATGCTACCTTAGTTAGTCTTGAAGTGTCAAAAGTAGCAGTTGTTGTGATTAGGTGACTAGTTTTAAGAAAGTGGCTTCTTTAGAGCTTGTACAGTCACTGCCACCTATTACCCAGGGGAGCGTAGGCAGCAACAATTCCTACGTAGGACATTTTCAGTACATACGTGCTGCATTTTATAATGACCACTAGCAAATTAATAGGCTATCTACATTCTAAAAGACCCTATTTTAACGTTGTGTAAAACAAAAGAGGGTTCCCAGAGACATTTTCTTTTTAGATGGCTCCATTTGACAGCATTCAATTGTTTGTGTTTTGATATTCAAACAATACTATTTCATGTAAAAGCTTCAACTCTTCATGATTAGTAATGGCATTTTGATCTGGAGATTTTACAACTAGCAAAGTAAAGAAACTGGAAGTTAACTGATTTTTTTTTTTTTTTTTAAATAATGTTAAGAGCTGAACAGAATAGTAAATACCAGTATTAAAGGTAGGCTACAAGAGAAACTGAAGAGAGACTTACCACCAATCTTGAGGCCAGGTCCATGTGTCCCAGTTTTTCCAGGAGGTTATAGATGAGGCCTGTCTGGTACAGGGCTTCAGCAATAGGTGCAGTATGGGTCTCATTTTTAAGATAGTCAATCAAATTAAATGCCATCCTAAGAGACACTTTGCCAAGGCTGAAGAATAAATGAATAGGAAGTATAAATCTACTGAGGGAAACTTTACAGTGAGTTGGTAAGTTCTGCAGACAAGAAACTTAAGTTTACAGTAGCGCCAGGCAAAATTAGACTCAATTAATTATATTTAACTAGCTCCTAGGTAAAGATGCATTTTAATTGAAAGATATACAACAGTTCAGTTTTGGATCCAGAAGTCATCTATTATTTGCCACTGACTAAGTAAAAGCATCACACTGTCTTGGAAAAAACAACTGCTATTAATTTTATTTACTAATTACTTCTATTTACCACATGATTAGGAGGGACATAATCACTATCTGAGCCAGTATCTGATTTAGAGTACCTGAATCAGAAAACAGACAAATCAAGCACCTGTTATGCGAGGAGGCGGTGGTGCACACTTTAATCCCAGCACTCGGGAGGCAGAGGCAGGTGGAGTGAGTTCTAGGACAGCAAGGGCTACACAGTGAAACCGTATCTCAAAACACAAAACAAACAAACAAACAAACAGAAAACGGACAAATCTTTTTTTTCTGTAAAAACAATCAGTCTGCCAAATTTGTTAATACAAGGTCTATTGTGAGTTTACAGTGAATGCCCTTTAAAAACTAAGCAGTTAGGTTGGGTAGGGTATTACATGCACTTAATTCTAATACCCAAGAGGAAGAGAGGTGGATCTCTGTGAGTTTGAAGCCAGCATGGTCCAGTTCCTGGCCAGCCAGCCAAGGCTAAAACACACACACACACACACCATAGCAGTTTGTAGAAGTCATAACACTAATGGTTCAAAGGTCATAACAAGGCTACTTTGTAAAAGGAACTTTTATTCTCCCACTTCAGTTGTTGTCTTGGAGGATACAGCTTTCTTCTGCTAACTTAGGCCTAGTCCTAGAAGCTTCTAGACTCTCTACAATCTAACCTGGGCCTCAAGGTCTTCAGCCTCTGAGACTTACTGCTTAATAAGCTCATCCTATCTTGTTCTTTCTGAGCTCTGGCCTGGGCTGGTTCAGTTGTTCTCACTCAAATTCCTCTCCCCGCTGACTTATTCAATTTGGCTTTTCTCTCAGCTCCTGAGTTGCTCTGCTTGGCCTCAAACTAAGTCCAGCTCCTTCTCATTCTCTGCTGATTTGGTCTTCATCTGAGTTCTCTCTCAGCAACCTGTCTCTTTATTACTGTTTTGGTAAAACTGCCTCCTCTCTCTCTCTCTCTCTCTCTCTCTCTCTCTCTCTCTCTCTGTATTGCCCCTTAAGTAGCTTCTCTTTCCTCTCTTTTCACAAGAGTTCACCATATTCCATTATGTCAAGTCTTTCTCTGATTTATCACCTTTTCATTTAGACATCACTTTCAAACATGGGTGCTTTCTTCTACAAACTAACTTTACCTTCATTGTTCAGGATTAAAGGTGTGTGCCACCTTGCCTGGATCTATGCTTTTCTTTACATAGAACTGGCTCTATACCAGGCTGGCCTTGAACTCAGATATGCTTGCCTCTGTCTCCTGGATTAAATGCATGTTTGTTTCCAGCCAGATCACACAGACCTAGAAGATCTTTGGAGGTGATCTCTTGCCAGCCAGATCACACAGACTTAGAAAGTCTTTGGAGGTGATCTTTTGCCAGAACAGCCATGTTCTGAATTAAAATTCCCCTACACAAGTCAAACACAAGTCAAAATTGAAAAATAATGATAAGTATTCATTGTGTTTCTAGGAGTAGAATCAATCTAAATTTGTAAACTATTCAGAAGATACTTTTATGAAAGATCATTGCCTCTCTTGGCCTTGGGCTTCTATAATGTATGTGGTGGTTGGGGAGGCAAACCATGTACATATAAAAGAGGCTCTGGGCACTAGAGATGATAGTCAACTAAGCTTTAGGCAGAAGCCAATTGCTTCATGAAGAGAATTCTTTCATGAAATAATGTGAAGCTTGAATTCCTACAACATTTTTACTGAACAAAGTATGTAACCTGCCTGTTGGTATCTACACTTGAACTAGCAGTTGATCCTGCTGTTTTTTGTTAATTATTTAATATGCTCATAGCTGATGTCTCTAATACATTATAAGCTCTCTAAAAGCAGTGACCATGTCTTACATTTTCCAAAGTTTTAATACATTATAAACTCTCTGAAAGCAATGAACATGTCTTACATTTTCTGAAGTTTCTAAGACTGTACCTAACAGCCAATATATACTTGTTCTTTCAAACTGTTTTCTGAATTTTTCTTTACCACAATAGCATTTTTAAAAATGACAATAACAATATAAACTGAGCATACTCTACCCTGCAAGTTCAAAGATGTTATTGATGAGGTTGGCTCGGTCTTTGTCACTTAAAACATATGGATTTCTTTTTAACTGATTGATTAGAGCTGTCCAGTCGTCATCAGCATAGTGAACAATATAATAGCCAGTCATGTTTGTATTGACTTTGACCCACTGCACTGGTTCTGGGAGACTGATGATATCTAAAAGAGAGGAAAAATTAAAATACCGAGAGAGAAGACAATAGGGGACTTTAGTTTTTTCAAAGTTAACAAGGTATGTTTTCATATCTATGATTCTTTTAAGAAACTAAATACTTGTGTGCTGGTACAGTAAGTGTCACATTAATGAAGGCTGCTACTCACTCATTTAAACATTACTTATTCATCATACATTATTAGCTCTAGGACAAGCACTGTAAGACAAACAACAAACAAGGTAGAGAGTCCTGTTTTTATGGGCTAATAAACGCACCCAGATATAACATTACATAAGTGTCATTGGTGGAAAAATAAAACACAACATTCCATGAAAGCACACAGAAATATTTCACTCTGAAGGGCAGTCTGGAGAGGCTTTATAAAAGAAAATATGTCTAAGATGTCATTCTTTTAAGTGACTTCAGAATACACATGCCTTAAGAAATTATGTATGGTGTGTGTATATGTGGGGAAGGAATGGTGTGCAGAATGGAGCAGCAACTAAAATATGTCCCATCTCAAAATCTGTCTTTTATTATACTCGTAAAGAAAGAAAACAAAGTTATTTAGAAAATAATTCACAGTTATTAGAATAAACATTAGGAAAAGCTTAAGGTTTTGCTAGGCATAAGATAAGAAATAGTCAAATTAAAATAATAGAATAATGAAAGTATTTTGTAACCCATACATGTATGTGTGCACGTATGCATGTCTGTGAACATGCGCACAGTGTATATGTGTTGAGAGAATTGTTAGAAATGCCTATGGATTTGTTTTTTGTGGGGTGAGAGAATGTACAAACAACAAGAAACTGACTATTGATATTTTCAACATGCTTAAAATTACTAATAAAAATGTTCTTAAAAGTTGACAGTAAGGATGTAGGCACGGATGTAGGCACAGCAGAAAAGTCATTCTTGGAAAGACCTTGAGGTGAAGATTTCCTAGAATACAAGTTTTATGTGCTGATCCTTCACTGCTAACTTCTCAGGTGATACAGTGAGGTACCTCGCAGATAACAAACCCTTATCAAATGAATGAATAAATAATGACTAATGTTGTAACAAATACTTTCAAATCAGATTAAAATCTGAGTGATATTTATCTTCTGATCTTAAAGTAAAAGCATACTTTTTATTCATAAAAAAGAAAAAAAACCTAATCTAAACCCAATGATACCACAGCAGAGTGTATTTATTGCCATGCTTTTCCTGTACTTGTTTATCTGCCTGTACTATTTCCTACAGTATTGATGACTTTCATGCTGATGCCTTTAAGGCTTCACCACCCACTGTCTTTATATGCACTGTTAAATATCCAACTTTTCACTTCAGGACTTGCCCCACTTTAGCTAACTCTTGTTTTGAAATATCATTTTAAAAATTTTGCTATCATTATACTTATATAATGGATTATTTGTATACAAATTGCTTTAGAAACACATTCTAAAATGAAAGATATGTTAGTACTTGAAGTTAGACTTACTGTTTGACAAGTTCAAAAGTACAAATTATTAGAATTTATCTGATTCCTTTTATTATTCTAATTTTGTTGATATTATGAAGATGGAAATGCATCTAATTATGTCTCAATAGAACTATCAGTCTTTTTTATTAAAAGATTCAGTATTAATTTCTGTTATATTCTTGACATAGTAACAGATGGAAAAGATCAGTTAGATGAACTAAATTTCTTTTTTCCAGAGCAGTATGTAGTTTTGTATAGTATTTGTGACAGAAAAAGTTATAGTTCCAGGTTAGGGTCATTGTAAACAGGTTTATAACTGATGAGATCAATTATATCATTAGCTAATCCAAAAAGTACTAATATTCTACATCTGGGTTGGCAAGCACAGTCTTCTACGGAAGAGTTAAAGATAAAATGCTATGAAGAAGTATGATACATCCCTATCTCGACTGACCTAAAAGGGAAAGATAAGCATGATAAGCATTTCACTTGATAGGGTTAGGAAATGGTGTCCTCAAAACAAAATGACAGCCTACAGACTGGGAAAGGATCTTCACCAACCCTATATCTGACAGAGGGCAAAAAAAACCCAGGATATATAAAGAACTCAAGAAGTTAAACAGCAATAAATCAAGCAATCCAATTAAAAAATGGGGTATAGAGCTAAACAGAGAATTCTCAATAGAGGAACATCAAATGGCAGAGAAACACTTAAAGAAATGTTCAGTGTCCTTAGTCGTCAGGGAAATGCAAATCAAAACGACCCTGAGATTTCACCTTACACCCATCAGAATGGCTAAGATGGAAAAACTCAAGTGACAACATATGCTGGAGAGGATGTGGAAAAAGGCAAACCTTCCTCCACTGCCAGTGGGAATATAAACTTGCACAACCACTTTGGAAATCAATCTGGCCCTTTCTCAGACAGTTAGGAATAATGTTTCCTCAAGATCCAGCTATACCACTTCTGATGTTGAGGAATGGATAGAGAAATTGTGGTACATCTACACAATGGAATATTACTCAGCAAAAACAACAACAACAACAACAGTAACAACAAGGAAATCATGAAATTTGTAGGTAAATGATGGGGACTGGAAAAGATCATCCTGAGTGAGGTATTCCAGAAGCAGAAAAACACACAGTATACACACAGGGTATATACTCACTCATAAGTAGATATTAGACATATAATATAGGATAAACATGCTAAAATCTGTACACCTAAGGAAGCTAAACAAGAAGGACAACCCTGGGTAAGATGCTCAATCCCCATTCAGAAAGGTAAAAAGGATTGACATCAGAGGAGGGAGAAAACAGGGAACGGGACAGGAGCCTACCACAGAGGGCCTCTGAAAGGCTCTACCCTGCAGGGTATCAAGGCAGATGCTGAGACTCATAGTCAAACTTTGGGCAGATTACAGGGAACCTTATGAAAGAAATGGGAGATAGTAAGACCTGGAAAGGATAGGAGCTCCACAAGGAGAGCAACAGAGGCAAAAAGTCTGGGCACAGGGGTCTTTTCTGAGACTGATACTCCAGCCAAGGACCACTCATGGAGATGGCCTGGAACCCCTACATAGAGGTAGCCCATGCAGTTCAGTGTCCAAGTGAGTTCCATAGTAATGGGAACAGGGACCATCTCTGACATTAATTCAGTGGCTGGCTCTTTGATCACCTCCCCCTGAAATGGATGCAGCCTTGCCAGGCCACAGAGGAAGACAATGCAGCCACTCCTGCTGAGACCTAGGATCAGAGGGAAGGGGAGGAGGACCTCCTCTATCAGTGGACTGGGGAAGGGGCACAGGTGGGAAAGAGGGAGGGAAGGTGAGATTGGGGAGGAAAGAGGGAGGGAGGTACGGGGGGGATACAAAGTGAATAAATTGTAATTAATAAAAATAAAAATAATTAAAAAATAGCATTTTCATTGATGAGCCCTTTGCCATACTGCATACATGGCCAACTCCAGATAGGAAAGAAAAGGAATACAGCTGAGAGTATATTTCAGATTATTATTGTCCTCAAGTTGCCAACACATGAGCAACACAGCTAACAGCAGAAGGAGAGAGGAAACTTATCATACCAAGAATAGTATGCACTAGGATTCAGGATCTCAAAACCACATGTATATAAAAAAAATTGCTTTATACACAAGGGACTAAGCTGGTTGCTAGCTCAAATGCAGATGAGATGAGACTACTTTTATATGTTTTCAATTTATTATAATTATTAGCAGATTAACAGTTTCATTTTTATAGTCTATTGTATAGTAAAATATTGAGCAATTTAATTTTAAATGGCAACAATCCAGGCAAAGTAATCTAATTGAGATTTTAAAAGCTAATTGTCAAAAAGCTATGAAAATCAACTACTGTTTTATAGATATTCAAGTCCTGAAACAAACAAAGATATGTTTTTACTATAAAATTAAAATATAAAGTCTACTCCAGGGTTTACCAAGGCACACAGTTTAACTACACCTCTTGCAAAAGTCCTTCCTTCTTTGATTCACTTCCATTATTCTTTATCTTATTAAGTAGGAAAAAAGATCAAATAACAGCACATGGAGGTATGCTAATAAATCACTTCCCCTTATTTTTCTTTCTACTTGCTTTTTCTTCCAATGATACATCTTTTAGTTTCATGGAAATATTTCTTGTATGATGATACATTTTTTCAGAAACATAACATTTCCTGTTAGAATTAAATACCTCCTACAGTTAAGGTTTTCAAACTTAAGGTTTGAAAAAAAAAAATAGATAACAGAAAAAGTAGGAAGGGCAAAATAGAAAATTTTAGTATAGTCTAAAAATTGATCCGTTAGACCATTATTAGGCACAACAACAATTAAAAAATAATGTGTTTGGGACTGAAATTAACACATATACACAACTGACCTACCAAACTAAGCCTGGAGCTCTGCAGACTTACGAAACCAGAGGATTCTGATATGGAAGAAGAGGGAGATAGAAAGACTTGGAGAGGAGAGGAACTCCACAAGGAGACCAACAGAACCAAAAAAATCTGGACCTGGGACAGCCTACAGAGACTGATACTCCAACCAAGGACCATGCATGGAGATAACCTACAACTCCTGCATAGAGGTAGCCCATGGTAGCTCAGTGTCCAAGTGGGTTCCCTAGTAATGAATGGGAACAGGTCCTGTCTCTGACAAGAAATCAGTGGCTGGCTCTTTCCTCCCCCTGAGGGGTGGGTTGCAGCCTTGCCAGGCTACAGAGGAAGAGATACAGACAATTATGATGAGACCCGAAAGGTAGGGTCATACAGAAGGGAAGGAGGTCCTCTCCTATCAGAGGACTAGGAAAAGGGGGAGAAAAGGGTGGGTGACTAAGACTGGGAGGAGATGAGGAAGGGGAGCTGCAGGGGGGATACAAAGTGAATAAATTCTAATAAAGAAATATATAAATAAAATTAAATTTAAAAATTAAAACAAAAAGAAACCAGAGGATCCTATAGTGCGATAATGTTGCATGACCTAAAATAAGCCTGAAGTCATCTTCTTTGCTACATTTTGAGAATAGAAAAAATGCAACTAAGTTGAAAGTAATTACTATTGGGGTATCAGGAGCCAAGAAGATTCAACTGTCCTTAGTGTCAAACATTTTCTTATAATAGTAGAGTGTTTTAAAATCTTAACTGGCAGAAATTAAAGCATCACAGCCATAGGGGAACAGAGCTAAACAGAGAATTCTCAACAGAGGAATATCGAATGGCAGAGAAACACTTAAAGAAATGCTCAATGTCTTTAGTCATCTGAGAAATGCAAATCAAAATGACCCTGAGATTCCACCTCATGCCTATCAGATTGGCTAAGATCAAAAATTTTAAACTACATTATTAGTAATTTTTTTATCAGAAAAATATTAACTATAGTCACACCTGATTTCTTGTCCAGTAGTGAGACTGATCGATATTCTGAATAGTTTCTTCCATCAGTGACATAGGATATTGGAATATGCCAAAGGTGGCTGCAAAAGGAAAACACAGGAGGTTAGCTCTCTCCCTAATATTTCAGTTAGTCAGGATTTGGTGGTATGGGACAATAACTGAATGTTTCCAAACTCCTTCCAGAAAGGGAAGACCTCATCAGGTTTCACAAAAATGATGGTATAGAACCTCTAAAATCCTTATAGCTGAAGGTGGGAACAAGACAGGCTGGGAAGAAAGAGAAATGATACCTTTCATCGGAAGCCTGAATTTCTGGTTGCTTGCTTAGAAAAAATCTTTCTTGTTTCAGAAGCAGCTCAGTACCCTTCCTCTGGACGGTCACTAATGGGAATCCTTTCTGTAGGGTCCAAGTTTTCATCATTTTCTTTACATCTAGTGTTTTGTTTGTGACCTATTAAATTAAGAAGAATTAATTTTGCTTAAAGATAAAATCAGTTTAAAAGTTTTAGTTTAATCTGCATGTTACTTTAACTCTTTCCCTAATGTACTTCATGAAGACCACATAGAATTGATCCTAAGGTTAGTTTACATTTTTCACCATGCTAAGAAGCTGCTTAAGCCAACTAGCTTGGAATATAAGTGAGGGTTTCAGCATGAATCCCGCTAAAAAGCAGCATGTGTGTTTCCAGCCGTAGACTTTAACATTAGAATCCATAGAGAATGTAAGTGCACTTTGGGTGACAGCATCTCCTCTTCACTGGATTGAACTGTTGCAACTCAGTTCTGAGAAGCAGCAAATCTACACTCTTCTTTATTCCCCTACTCTGCTTCTTCACTGTCTTTTAAAGACCCATTCTTGGGGGAGAGCTAATATCAGCAGCACTTATAGAAAACTCTGGTCCCTTAACTGAGTCTCTTAAAGAACAATAATAGTAAACTTGTTTTGGGATCATTTCTCACCCCCATCCCCCAAAATACACAAACTTTTTTGTAAAATCTAAGATCTAATGTATCAGGTTATTAGACCCTGTAAAGCTCACTACCCAGAAGACATCTGGTATCAATGACCAAAAAGCGATTTATAATAAATGGTCTCTTTAAAGCAGGAAGATCACGTTTATGATTTAGCCTACTTTTCTGGATACACATACATGTAAATTCAAGCCACCACATCATCAAAAGGCAGGTTCTACTTCAATCATTATATGGCTGTTTAAAGTACAGAAGTATGGAACAATGATTTCCAATTTCACTGAGGTATTAATCTTGTCTTTCTCATGGCTTCCACCTATCTACTTCAGGACCAGAGGCTGGGAAGAAAAGCAAGACACTTTGAGAAGTTGAAAGCAGTAATAAAAAGAAGAGACTATCATATAGTTTGATAATAATGCTGAAAGAACTGAGACTATTAGAAACTAGGTTGAGACGGGGCAGCAGCATTATGTGCAGTGAGTAATGAAGGCAGGCATATGTTCCAAGCAAGTGTCAAGAGTTGTGTAAACAGAAAGCAAAACAGTGATGGCTCTAAACTGGAATGCCAACACATGATTCGAGGAAAAATAATACAGAAGCCAGTGTTAGGTAATAAGAATTAGTTCCTTTTCTCAAACAGGTAGGTCCTACATTCTGGACAAAAAGTTAATACTAGAAAACATCACCACCCACAGTGGGCAATGAAACTCATTCAAAGCAAGGGTTCTTGACCCAGCATCCACAGGACTCTGAAACCATGTGTGATGTTCTGCATGTGGTTTTTCTGAGGCAAATGACAGGAACTTTTATCAGATTCTCAGATATATCTGTGATCTTGCAGAGCACAAAGAACTACCAAACTAGATCAGAATAGCAAACTTAAGAGGTCTATCAGAATTGTGTAGCCAACATATGTGCATAGGCAAGCTGGGTTCATACATGCTCTGAAGAATAGCTTCTATCTAATTACGCTGCTTGTTAGAAAATGGAAGTGTCAATAATCTATCCCTTTTATCTCTTACATATCATTGGTACCATTTATTTATGTGATAGAAATATAAACTGAGGACCTCTTACAGCTTGCAGACAGGACTGAATTATTCAGGTTACTTACCTCATTAAAGCTGTCCCAGAGATCATCGCTTTGAATGGATGCATAGCTGTGATTGTGCAGGTAAAGAATGATAGCATGCTGAAACACATCTTCACTAAGGTAAGTTTTCAGCATCAACAAGAGAGAAGCTCCCTGTTCAAAAAATGAAGAGAAAAAAAACCCAGATTATTACAGAATCAAAAATCTAAGACTGAAAAATATATAATTTCGAAAACGTGATTTCATATATACAACATATATACATATGTATATACATATGTATACATGTATATATGTACATATGTATATACAACATATATACATACTACACATATATACTACATAATTAGTTTTGTATACATAGATATAGACCATATTCAAATACAATTATTTAAAAATATAAATACTGGCAAAGGGAATTAGATTCCTATGCACACAAAATCGGCCATGAGCCATTCTTTGTGTCCTATAAGTGTACTTTGTTGTTTTTGTCAGTATTGAAATGGTTAGCATTTATGTATTTTTAAATAAAAACATATGACAAATTTTCTATGGCATCTCTTCCCCCATCTCTAATGCTTAAAGTGCTAGCTGCACCTATGTACAAACACCAAGGAAGACACAATCAGCAGAACTTTCAAAATCTCTCTGCTGGCAGTAATTACACTGTAATTTTAGTCTCCCATGTTGCTGAAATAGTCAGGATCTTTCTTCTTCTGAACTATACTAATGAATGTACAAGGGAGCAAGCACACACTAAGGGTCCATAACCAGGTTTGCAAGTGTTCGGGCAGTAACAGACTCCCTCATACACACAGCACACTCCAGCTAGAAAACAAATACCTGTTTGGTGTCCTTTCTGACTTGAGAGAGAAATTGAGTTGGTCCATTAGGAACTGATATTATTTTCTACATCTAGGATGTTTATATCTTCTTCTATAGTGAAGGCCAGTTGAGCGAACAATTTCAAAGATGCAAATACAGAAACAATACCTACTACAATACCTAGCAGTAGGCACTAAACACAGTGTTTGAATGAATTTCACTTGTGATAAAAATGTAGCAATATCAAGTCATCAAGATACAAATATACTTAATAGCTTTTATACCCATTTGCATTTTACAATTGTATTTATTCTACATATTTAAGCATTCCTGTTCTCAACAGTTCTTGCTTTTCTCATACATTACCAACTTTCTCTTCTACACTATAATATTTCCATCAATAAAATACAGTTAAACATTCTTAATTATATATGTCTATATACACATGTAGGTATATATGTATTGACTCTCTGCTTTTCCTTAATATCATGTCTCCTCTAGTTATCACACTAGCTATTGCTTCTCATTTGTAGTAAAACTCTTCAGAGTCATCTGCATTTGTTCTCTTCCCATGTTCATTTCAACCACAGAATAACCATTACTCTACTAGCAATGGTCACTGGTGAGTTTCCTGGTGCCAGATAAATCTCAGTTTCTTGCTTGCCTTATCAATAATGCACCAATAGCGGTTAACATGATTGACAACCCACTCCTGCTTGAAAGCTTTATATATCCAGTCTTGAGATAGTGTTCCTGATTTTACCTCTAATTCAGTGCTCTATCCACGGTCTCTTTTACTGAATCTTATCTTCTCAATGACTAAAGCTTGGTGTGCCCTGCCATTTTCTCTTTAACCCCGTGGGCTTCTCTTTTTCTCCACCTGAATTTGCTTTCTAGTTGCTCTCTAGTCTAGCAGCTCTAAGCCTATTTATATAACCAGTTAGATTTTACTTCTGAATTCCAGACTCAAATTCATCTGCCTACTTTGTATCTCTATTTGATTATCTAATGTGCACTTCCTATTTTAAAATTCAGTTTTTTTCTTTGCCCCAATTCTAGTTATCCGGTAGTCTTCTCCATTTTAGCAAATGCCAATCTTAACTTCCAGTTGTTGAGAGAAAAAAATCAATTACATTTCCCTCTTCTCTCTGCCACCCCTCTCTGTGTGTGTATGTAAATGTGAAGGGATAGCTTTCATGATTTGGTGCTCTCCATGTGGATCCCAGGAACAGACCTCAGGTCTAGCTGGGCCCCAGGGAAAGGAAAAACTGTTAATATTGTGTTTGACTCTACTCATACAGTCTATACAGAATTTATTAGTGAATGCTACTAGATATTTTTTTTACAACACTTATCAGGTCCAACCATTATCTCATTACCATCACACTCCATATATGACAACTACCTAATCAGTCGTCCTGACCATGAGCTGTTGCTCAACACGGGGCATAATTTTTAAAACAATTAAACATATCACGATACTTCCCTGACCAAATGTTCTTTTTTTTCACCTAGAATAAAAGGTCCTTATCATATATTACACTTCACAGTGACTTCACTTTATAAGTCTGTTGACATCATCTATTTTCTATTGTTTATTCTATTCCAAATAGCCTGCTCCTAACTTATGCTTGAACATGAAAAGCAATCTGTCATCTTAAGCTGTGTGGGACTTCCTAACATCAGTACCAGGTTTGATGTAGCACTAAAATGGATTCACAAAACTCAACTGATAGGCACACACACAATTATAATCTATTAAAATCAAAAGATTCAAGGTAAAATCAGCTTAGGAGTAGTTATAAAGTCTAAAAAAAGCTGGCCCTCAATTTCCCTGAGTCCTTTCCTAGTAAAGAGGATGTACTTCTTTCCTTTAGCAAGCTGTGCTAATTGTATGGAATACTGTTAGCCAGGGTAACTGTTAAAAAAAGAAATTCAGGATCCAAATTTTGTTTTGCTTTGCCTAGGGGTAAAGACATAGAAGCACCTTCAAGCTTGCAAGTAACCAAATTCTAGAGCTCCCAAAGAATAGAAAACACTGAGCATAAATATATTTTTTATACAGCTTAGGCAGAGTAAGTAATTTTCATCATGAACAATACAGTCAGCCCCAAACCTGATCTGCCCGATGCCAGCCAAGGAATAGCCTTGTAGGTAGACTACCAAAGGATAGTTGTTCTAACACTGTGATATTAACTCTTTTCTGCACACAAAATCTATACTTTAATTCGTTTTGCATAAAATATTTGTCACTGGCAGCCCATACGCTTAATTCTCAAATGGGTTACAAATATTGCCTCTTCACAAGTGGCCTTCCCTGACTATGCAATATCAAATGGCATTTTCTTTGTTATTCTCATTTCTCTTCTTTATTTCATCTAATACAACACTTGTTAATTCTTGTGTATAGCTAATGACTACCTCTAAATTTGAACCATGAAATGGATACCCCAGAGAAACATTCTCCAGTTTGTCTCCTGAAGAATCTCCAGCATCTAGGACAGTAACTGGCATATGGTACTTTCAAAACTGGCTAATGAATGAACCCTCATAAGGCAACCTGTATCAGTGGCTTGGAGACTGTGAAGAACAAATGGAACATATCTGTTAAACATACTTCCACAGGCATTTCTTCTTTCACAAACTACTAGAATTATTCTATTTTACTTGGTGATGTGGGATATTGGTCAAATTTTCAGTTGTAAAATAAGCAGTTACCATATTTTGAAGGGTTAGGCATGCTATTGAAATCTCATGATCAGCAGGCATGAATTCTGATTTTAGATGGATGATTGGTGCCAGAGCTCTGTCATAACACATCTTGAAATAGCAACTTTGTTTACCCTCTGTATAGCAACAGAAACACATTTAAAGTTTTTCCTTATCAACCATTCAAGTATGGGCTTTAACAATCACTATAGTAAATAACTGAATATAGTAGTTTCCTTATCCACAAGGGATAATTTCCAAGATCCCTAGTGGATTCCAGACATCACATAGCACAAAACTTTACATATGCTATGCTCTCACCTATAATAAAATTTAATCAATGGATTAGGTATATAAGGATTAATAATTCCTAATAAGAGAAATAATTATAAACAATACATTGTAATAAGTCTTATGAATGTAGTCCCTTTCAAAATAGTTTACTGTAGTACAGATCAGATCTTAGCAAGAAATGCCTATGATTTTCTTTCCTTGTAAACTTAAGAACTTTGACCTAGTCACTTAAAGGAACCACTTCATACCTTTGCTTTGGCAACTACAGAATTCTTGTGCATTAGGGATCATTAATAAATAACGTAGGAGATACCTGACCACAAGCCTTAACTAAGCCAGTTAATCTGATAATCGATACAGTATTTAGTCATGAACAGATGGGTAGCATATTCATGGATACATCGAAGAAATGGCTGACTCATGGGAGGGGAGGACAGCATGAGCGTTTCCCATTACTCAGAATGACATGTAATTTAAAATTTATGAATTGCTTATTTCTGTACTTTTCCTTTTAGAATTTTTCATTAGATGGTTAGTGATGGTAACTGAAGCTACAGAAAGAAAAACAGCAGAGAAGGAGGATGAGTGTCTATATTTTTAGAGCAAATTAAACTTCTGGTTTCTTGTTAAAAGTACTATTATTTCATCAGGCTTAAATCTGGAAAACATTTTTGCCTTCTTTTGTGTCTTATTCTAAGTCCTTACCAAGGACTAAGTCCTTACCTTTACTAAGTCCTTTAAGTACAAAAACTCACTTTATTTTCAGAGCTATTTTCTTTCCATTGTTATGACCGCTCATTTCAAACATTCTCCACTGCCATGTCTGATTATTAGTGCCAGCTTCTATCTTTAGTCTCTCCCTACTGGATCTACTTTATAAAATGAATGCAATTTAAATTTTCTAAATATTAACTTTAATCAGGTCATCCTTATGTCAAAAAACAAAAACAAAAAACAAAACAAAAAACACCTAGATTTGTTATGGAATTCAGGACCATCTGTAGCCGGGCTCAAGCTTCCTTTCTTACCTTCCTAAACCCTGGCTCCATCTCTGAAGAAAGCCTCAGCCATTAGCACTGCTGGCTCTTTTCTGCAGAGAACACGGGTTCATCCCTGCCCAACCACAGTACCTGTGTGCTTAGAGGTATTTCGGATCTCACCGTCCTCCATTCTCTCTTCAGCGTGCATGCTGTACTACTTCAGCACATACAACCTCTCTTATGCCTCACCATGTATTTACTACCCAATTTTGAGCTTTTTGATAATACAAATTCTATCCTCACATGTTTACTGTATTTTCTTTGCTATCTGACATAGAGATTTACTAATCAAGCAATCTGACAACCAAACACAACAGGCTAATCAGTTCTGACATGACCCCTCTGACATCAAATATTTGAATAACACCAGAACCATGTTCTCTGTTCTCCAGCCTGCTCAGATCTCAACAGAGCTTCTACTTTCCATCCACAAACCAAATGTCTATGCTTCACATCCTCAAGGTTAATTGCCAATTATTAAAATAACTTTTTTGTTTAATTGTTTTGGTGATCTTGATTCTAGAAAATACCTTATCTGAGTAGCACAATAAAAGGCTTTACTCAGGACCTTCTGAGCATATGTTCTAATTGTAGATCAACAAAGAAAACGAAGTTTGAAAGATGAATTCTTACAGGAGCTGCTTCACTGCCTGAATACTAGTCACAGTGACTTAAAGAGAGACAGAGAAACATTCACAAAAGTTAAAACCAAAATGTAAACAGTTTTACATGTTTAAAATTTAAACTTTAAAAGGATACTCAAAGGCAATACTTATTCAATCTTTAATATGACTCAGGCTGTTTGCTGATGTACAAAATGTGTTTGAAGTCTATTAAAAGTGCATTTCTTTGTGCACAGTAATACCTTAAAATAAGAGAGAGAATCAAACATCTCTTCTATTTGTTCTGAAGACTGAACAGATGATGATATTGGATGAGATGAATTCAAGGAATCTTTCCTCATGGTTTTAAACCGAGCATCTAAGAAGTCTTCATACTAGCAAAAAACAAAGCAGCAGGAAGTCATAACCAGCACAAAGGCAATCTAGCATTTACACAAATTACACAAACTGATACAGAATGAAAAGACCTGGACTTACTAAAGTTTAGCGTATAAACAAATGAAAATACAGTGTATGCATATTCCTTAAATTTAAAACTGCACTTATAATTGAGGGATGTGAGAATCAGCATTTCTGAAAGAGCATAACTGTAAAATTAAGAATCTATGACTATCAAAAGCAAATTCCAAATATTAATATCCAAGATAAACATGCAATACCAGTTAAAGTTTATTTTTACAATAAAAGTTGAAACTTAGGGCAGAAACGTGGTCCTTTCCTTGATTTTCTATTAAAACATATACAATTCCTAGTTAAGGTTATTTTCAATAAAGTACAACTCTTGGTCTGAAAGAATTGAGAGCTCAGCTAAGCGTGCCCCAAGAGTGTCTATCAGAATTTTAAGTATTCTGGGCACCCCCAAGTGGTAAAACTGTGTATTTCACTGCGTAGTTAAAAAGCACACATGATTTAAACTACCTACTTAGTATCTGAACTAAAAATTACTTGCAGTTGTCATCAAGCCCTATGTGCAGAAATGTCAGACTGGAAACTCTCAAGAGTACTTTCTGCAGTCCATGACTAATGCGTGGAGGTAGTCTACTAGCAAGTCAGATTTTTAGGGTTGAAAACATTTCTGTGTGGGAGGTTTTCCTATAGTTTGAGGGACCCATGTTTCCGGTTTCCCCTCAGGTGCCCAATAATACTTGCATTATTTCAGCAATAACTGTCAAAAATGGCCTACTATGTCTAAGCAGCCTTGGGTACAGGAAATATCTCCAAACTCTAATGACATACTCATAGCACAATGCCTTCTTTTTTCTTTTTTAAAATATTTATTTATTTTTTAATTAATCACAGTTTATTCACTTTGTAACCCAACTGTAGCCCCCTCTCTCGTCCCCTTCCAATCCCACCCTCCTTCCCTCTTCTCCTCCCATGCCCCTCCTGAAGTCCACTGATAGGGAAAATCTTTCTCCCTTCCCTCTGACCCTAGCCTATCAGGTCTCATCAGGACTGGCCTCATTGTCTTCCTCTGTGGCCTGGTAAGGCTGCACCCACTTCAGGGGGAGGTGATCAAAGAGCCTGCCACTGAGTTCATGTCAGAGACATTCCCTGTTCCCCTTATGAGGGAACCACTCAGAGACTGAGCTGCCAAGGCCCGCACAATGCCTTTCTATAACAAGTATTCAAGTCTTTGAAATAAACGTGTGGTTTGTACATAGCAAGGTCAATTTACTTATTTGTTTGTTTATTTAAGCAGCTTATATGTTATTTAAAAATATACTCAATAACAATATAAAAAGCAATATTGAAGTCAGTCTTCATTTGATTTCTCTTTAAACAAAGGGTTTTCAAATTATTCTTTTAGATTTATTTTTTTATTATTTATGTGTGTGGGTGTTTTGCTTTCACATGCATCTATCTGTACCCCACAGGTGCTACTAGTGGGTGCTGGGAAATGAACCAGGGTCCTTTGCAACAAGTTTTCTTTTTTTTTTTTTTTTTTAAGATTTATTTATTATGTATACAATATTCTGTCTGCATGTACACCTGCAGTCCAGAAGAGGGCACCAGATCTTATTAGAGATGGTCGTGAGCCACCATGTGGTTGCTGGGAATTGAACTCAGGACCTTTGGAAGAACAGCCAGTGCTCTTAACCTCTGAGCCATCTCTCCAGCCCGCAACAAGTTTTCTTAATCACTGAGCCAACTCTTCAGCCCCTAAGTTATTTTTTTATGGCTTCTCTGTGTAGCCCAGCTGTCCTGGAACTCACACTGTAGACCAGGCTGGTCTCGAACTCACAGAGCCCCCTGCCTCTGGCTTCTGAGTGCTGGGATTAAAGGCAAGCACCACCATGGCCAGCTAAGTTATTTAAAAAAAACAAAACAAAACAAAACAAAATTTCCAGCTTATCTATATTTTCAAAAGGACCCTATCTATTAAAAATAAAATGTAGCAGTTAAAATATTCATCCTGAATTAAAAAATATAATCATTTCAATGTTTAATGAAATATATCAATGAGCAAAAGTGAGATTTTCACTGTCAAATTTCCAGAACTCCAGTTTTTACTATACCTTTAAAAAAATTTCATTACCTCAAGTGCACAGAAAATACATGGTAAATATAACTTTTAATCTGGTTATTTCCTCTTTATAGGACAAAAAAACTTAGTACTTACACTATTGAGCTCTTTGAATATTTTTTCCACAGAGAAGTACTCCATGAAAGTGGCAAAGCCTTCATTTAGCCATAGGTCATTCCACCACCGCATTGTAACCAGATTACCAAACCACTGTAAGAGAGACAATTAGTAACCAGCGTGACATGTACATTCTCAGGAATTTCTTAGTTGGATGTACTGTCAGGTTCTTTGAAGATAATCAAATTAAAATATCTTAAACTATACTCAGAGTAATTAAAGACTTATAAAAGTTATACAAAATATACCAAAAAATGAAGGATTTTAAGTTATATGAATTTATTCTAGAAGTAAAATAAAACTTCAATATTTTACCTTAAGTGAATGGGAAAAAAAACAGGAAAGGCTATGAATATATTTATTTACTAAAACATGTATGAAATTTTAACATATGCAATACATCATGATATATAAAGTTGTTAAAGTGAATCTTCTTAGATAATGAAATTATTTGAGCTAGTATCAATTAATAAGATTACTTTCCGTTATATATATAATAACCTATGACAACTAAAGATTTCCCTATGTTTCAGTGTCTGGGTTTCACGTTGCTCTATTACCTCATTTCAAGACACATGGATTCACCTCAGAATTCAAGTAGCATTCCTATAAAAACCTGGAATGAACACAGGCATAAACACACACACACACACACACACACACACACACACACACACACACACACCCCAACACCACAAAGAAAATCAGAGAAATCTTTAAATGCTTCCTTATGTATTTTAGGAAAAGAAAGAAAGAAAAAGGGTAAGAATTCTTTGTAAATAACGTATGGTTAAAATACTCTTGGGTCTGGAGAGATGGCTCAGCAGTTAGCACTTGCCCTGCGACCCTAAGGACCTGAATTTGGATCTCAGCACCCATGTCACAAGTCACCGTGTCATTCTCCACAAACGTCTGCACTCCCAGTTTGAGGGAGGTACACGCATGCAATTGCTGAGGTTTGCTGACGCCCACCTCACTAAGAGGTGAGTGTAGAGAGCGATGGAGGATGACAGCTGACACACTCCTCTGTCCTCCACAGGTGTGCACACGTGCTCATACATTCATGCAGGCAGAGCACACATATGCACATGTACACACACAAATAAACAGATTTCTTTTAAACATACTTGCAATAAAATGTCTTACGGTATGCAAATTTGTCAACGTGGTCTGGGGTTTATTTCACAAAAATAAGCAAAAAATAAGATTATTAATAAAACAAAACAAAACTTTGGAGAGTTGTAATCATTGATTTTTCAATGACATTATTTTTAAAAAAATCTGTTTAACAGGAAGATAAGATATAAGCCCTAAACAAAAGAAAAAATAAAGAGACATATTCTAAGTGGTAATGAGTAGTCTCAGAAATAACAGCGTTAAAAGAAATCTCAAAAAAGACAACTTTTTCTTCAGCTCACTTAAGTATATGCTTAACATATCAATTTGCCAAGAAGTTCTTATAAGGGTCAGAGGCATCTACAAATGATGTTTGATTCAGAGTTAACTGGCGATGGGACTTTCTAGTTGTCTTTCAAGTACTGCCACTTCATAGCTTCTAAAACCATGAAAAAGCATCTTGATCCCAGAGCACAACAAAGATAATGTGTTGGGAATGGTGATGTTCATGAACAATTTTTTTTTCTTTTTTCCATCTTATACAAAAAATTCCTTCTCTCCAAAGGAGAGAAATCTCCTTCTCCACATCAATTAAGAATTCAGTTCTAGCAGGAAACAGAAAAAGGAATTTAGTCCTGACAACTGTGATTCAAGAATTGTTACAAAGCTGGATGTGGTAGCCCACACCTGCAATCTGGTATCCCAGAGTTGAGGCAGGAGTAACACATAAGGGAGATAGTGTAAGTGAGGGGGCAAGTTCTATCCTACAAGCTTACACTAAGCATCTGGCAGTTGCTAGATTTGACACAGATATGTATTCTTAAGGGAAGTGCTATTCCAGGGTTAGATAATTTAACTCGGTGATATAGCACTGTCTAGCAAACACAAAGTCCTGGGCTTGGTCCCAGCTCTGGGGTCATAAAAAAGATAATCTGAAGATACAATTATTCTTCAAGGCTCGATGGTACCACTTAATAGCTGGGTGAGTTTGAACAAGTCATTTCTTAGCGCTAAGTCTTAGTTTCTCTACCTGTAAAATGGGATTACCACTCACCTTAGGACATTCATGAGATGAGATAATGGATGTGAAAATGACTTAAATGTAAAATCTTAGCAGATAATATTTTCTGTTGTCATTAAGTTTGTTTTTAAAATGCATCATTTTAATATAATAGCAATACTAAAACCACAGAAATATAACATACTTAGTACTAGACAGGTATTTACTAAAATTCTAGGGAGTAATATATAATGGCACTGCTTGGTAATACCTGATGTGCCAGCTCATGAGCAATGATTTTAGTGACCAGTTTTCTATCTGCTACTGAAGAAGTGGTGTTGTCATACAGAAGTGTCTCTTCTCGGAATGTAAGCAGGCCCCAATTTTCCATTGCTCCTGCTTCAAAGTCAGGAATGGCCACCAAATCTGGACATGACAAGAAAGAAGAGATCAGCTTCTCATCTAAGTAACTCCCCAAGTCAAGATGCTTTGCCCAATAAGGACAGTGGGATCTTTCATGATCTTTAACATGCAGAATTGTCCTTTTCCTAGATCTAAATGCTCTGTACCTGATGCCAGCTGAGAAAGACTTGATCAAACCCTTTTATGATCAACAATTCCTCTGTACCATTAAAAAAGACAAAAATACCCTATTCCCTTCCAGATGAATCAGATTAGGGTAAGCAAGACAGAGGCAAGTTGGACTCCATAACATTCTTCAGAATCAGAATCACACTCAACAGAACTTAAATCTTCTTGCTTTCAGGGGATCCCAGTATGTACTTTTTAATCATTTGAATCACAAATTTATTGGAAGTTAGAGTCTATCAAACTCCAGATGGAGCCTTAAGCAAATTTCTATAACCCCATAAACTTTTAAGTTGTCTAAATAATTTAAAGTCTAAGTTCAGACACATGTAGATTGTTTTAAAATTTGACAAAACTGTTTTTCTAAAATATCATTTGTGAAGCACATCTTCATTATAAATGGCAATAAAAATCAAAGGCACTATTTAATTCTTACCTAATTTCTTAAGTGGGTATTGAATTTCAAAATAATTTTGGTAAAACTCAAGGAGCTTTACAGTTGTGTCCAAGGCATGGTGAACTTGAGCAATCTTTTCTGGTACAGCATATATAGAAACCTAAGGAGAAACATAATCCATGATGTAAACATCAGACAGGTAAAAATTAAAATGACATGGGACTCAGCTGAGTACTGTTAGGACCAGCAAATTCTTATAATTCTGCCATCCACACAGAACAAGTTATTCACATCCACACTTACCAAAAAAAAAAAAAAAAAAAAAAATTGCCTAACGTTTTATTCTTTTTAAGCTTTACCAATATCTCAAATAAATTACTGTGGCACATCTCAAAGCAAATTATAATGCTGCATTCTTGCACTCCTATGACCTCTGAGTGCTCTTACTTGTGAAGTATGAAGACAAGTTACATGCAGCACAGAACTAAGGTGTTAATCCTTTTGGTACCTATTACTGTTAACTCTCATCCAGTAGGCACTAACTACTAGCAAATAAACATTAACAAGTTGTTGGCTTGCTTTTATGAATCATGTAATATAAAAATAATCATATAAGATGCCTCACTATGATTCAGTCTCACCTTGCTCATTCACTTCAGGCTACGCACTCAGGAGGAAATCACACAGGTTGCTTAACTACCTATGCTTTCTACCTTCACTTGGAAGATTAATGTATAGTTTCAGCACATATGGTATGATTATAAAAGAAACTGAAATTTGACCAAGGGATGCAATTATTCTCAATCATGGAATACAATTAGGAGAAGAGTAGCTTGAATTTTATCTTTCCTTTCCACCTCTTTTTCTTTTCCTTAAAAGAACACATGCTTTTAACTTTTTAATACACATATATCATGCTCATTATATTTATAGTAACCTTATTCTAAAAAAATAATAAAACAGTAGAAAATAAGCAAAGAGAATAATGTGCCTTGGCAGAAATGTCCTTTGCCCTTCTGTGGTCTGAGGGATTTAAACTATGGCCCATGCATATTCAGCCAGCTTTCCACCACTGAGCTATTTCCCCAGACCTCTTTTTACTTTTTATTTAGACACAGGGTCTCATTAAATTCTCTAGACTCATCCAGGTCTTTCTATCTCCCCCTTCTTCTATAAGATTCTCTGGACTCTGACCAAAGTTTGACTATAAGTCTCAGCATCTGCTTTGATACCTGCTGGGTAGAGTCTTTCTGAGGCCCTCTGTGGTGAGCTCCTATCCTGTTCCATATCTTCTCCCACTTCCGATGTCTATCCAGTTTTCCCTTCTGAATGAGGATTAAGCATCTTCCCTAGGGTCATCCTTGTTGTTTAGCTTCTTTAGGACTATAGATTTAGTATGTTTACCCTATATTATATGTCTAATATCTACTTATAAGTTAGTATACACCATGTGTGTCTTTCTGCTTCTAGGTTACCTCACTAAGGATGATCTTTTCTAGTTCCCACCATTTGCCTGCAAAGTTCATGATTTCCTTATTTTTAATAGCTGAGTAGTATTCCATTGTGTAAATATACTACACTTTCTGTATCCATTCCTCCAGTAAGGACCTAAAACTCCTGCTCAGATGTAGCCCATGGACTCAGCCTCCAAGTGGGTTCCCTAGTAAGGGGTACAGGGGCTGTCTCTGACATGAACTCAGTGGCACACTCTCTGATCACTTCCCCCTGGGGGATGCAGTCTTACCAGGCCACAGAGGAAGATGATGCAGCCAGCCCTGATGAGATCAGATAGAAGGGGAGAAGGACCTCCCCTATCAGTGGAATAGGGGAGGGGCATAGGGAGAGAAGAGGAGGAGAGGGTAGGAGGAGATGAGGAGGAAGGCTACAGCCAGGATACAAAGTGAATAAACTGTAATGAAAAAGTAAATAAATACATAAGTAAATGAATCAATAAGTAATTCTCTAGGCTTGGTTCTGAACTCATGTGGTAGCTCAGGCATGTCTTGAGCCTGAGATCCTTGTACCCCACCATTCTGAGTTGGTGGATTATAGGTATTCATTATCATGCACACAAGAGGAAAGATGTCTTAGACAACATTTTGGGTTGGGTAAGCAAACACTACTTACTACTGTATGGGGTTTGTGGTATAGCTCTGTGGTAGAGGAGATGGTTAGCAAGCCTAAGGCTCTGGGTTCAAACTTAATAAAAAAATTAAGAAAAAAAGATAGGCAAAACAAATATTCTAGTTACTGTCAAATGAAAGCCCATGGGTAATTAAGCCTTGATAGTTATAGCCTAATGCTTTCTTGTTATCTCTTGCAAGAACCCTTTAAGAGATTTCTATAACTACAACTATGAAAGTCCCTGGCTCCTCACAGCAAGGAGTTCTTAATGATGAAAGAATAGAGGATTTGGTAGGTTTAACCTGTCTGTGCCTTAAAGTATTAAGTTCAAAACTAGCTAACAACAGCAGGACCAAACTTTTTTAAATTTTAATTTTTTTTCACAATTTATTCATTATATATCCTCATTGAAGCCCTCTCCTTCAACTCCCCCCAGTCACACCCTCCCTCCCTATTTCCCCCTATCTCCTTCCCCTAGTCCACTGAAAGGGGGAGTTCTCCTCTTTTACCATCTGCCCATAGATTATCAAGTCTCATCATGATGGTATGGATCTCTTCCTCTCTGGCCTGGTATGGCTGCATCACCAGGGGGAAGTGATCAAGGAGCAGGCAACGGAGTTCATGACAGAGGTAGCCCCTGCTCCTCTTACTTGGGAATCCACATGCAGACTGAGGTGCCAATCAGCTACATCTGAGCACGGGGTCTAGGAAGCAGGACCAAACTTTATCACCCAATGAAAATCAGTAATAGGGCCTGAAGGAGCTAAAGAACACACTCACCTTCCAAAACAGAATAATTGAGCATACTGCATAAAGCCAGAGTTCCTGACATAAAGAATGTCTTGAATCTCTTCCTAATGACTGATTAGATGAACTAGAAAGGAATGATATCAAATGTCCAATGTGTACCAGGATGTTTAAAAGACACTTGGGATTTGTCCTGGCTAGTTTAATGTCAACTTGACAAAAACCAGAGTCATCTGAAAGGAGGGAACCTCAATTGAGTAAATGCTGCTGTAAGATCCAGCTGTAAGAATTTTCTTAATTAATGATTGATGGGGTAGAGCCCAGACCCTGGTAGGTGGTGCTATTCCTGGGCTGGTGGTCTTGGGTTCTATAAAAACAGGCTGAGTAAAGCCATAGAAACAAACCAGTAAGCAACATTTCCCCATGGCTTCTGCATCAGCTCCTATTTCCAGAATTCTTCCTGTTTGAGTTCCTGTCCTGACTTCCTTCAGTGATGAACAGTGTTGTACAAATGTAGGTCAAATAAACCCTTTCCTCCCCAAGTATCTTTGGTCATGGTGGTTCATCACAGTAATAATAACCCTAACTAAGACAGGACAGAAATTACTTTAGAAATCTTGCTAAAAATCATGTTAGTGAGTAAATTAACATTATAGCTATATTGATAGTACTGTTCAGAGCTCTAGTTAAGTGCTACATGTCAGATGTGATACTCATATCTGGCTGATTAAACTGATTCTAACAACTAGCCCAACTATAGCAAAAACAAATGCAGGAAGCAAGGAAAAAAAACAAAAATCATAAGAAAAGCATGAAACAGAATTTTTCACAATTGGCTTACAAATTTCCAGTTAATTCTGACATGCCTAAGAAGGAAAGAAAAATCCTTTTTTTTTTGACCAAGTGGATCTTTCACCTTCTACTAAAGAAAAAAGTTTAAGGGATAAAATCTGCAGGAGAGAAAGGAGAGGGTTATGTCTGGGATGTAAAATAAATAAATAAAATTTAAAATAAGGGATAAAATCTGAAACATAAAAGGTATCGGGGGAGTGTTACTAATACTGAACCTAGGGCTTAGCTAATGTCCAGTGAACTGGACTATATCTCTAAGTCCTGTTTTTTCTTTGAGGTTTTGATATAAAAGCAGAATTCATTAATAAACAGGAATATAGTATTCCACAGTCATTGATTAAAATAAGTTTATTAGTCAACTCTACCTCTTTATTCCTGAACCTTGTTAAACAGACTTACTATCTAAATTCCCATCAAATTACCAACACAATTCTTTACAGACCTGGAAAGAAAAATTCTCAACTTCATATGGAATATCAAGAAACCCAGAATTGCTAAAACAATCCTCTACAATAAAAGATCTTCTGGCGGTATCTCCATCCCTGATCTCAAGCTGTACTATAGAACAACAGTAATAAAAACTGCATGGTACTGGAATAGAAACGGAATGGTGGATCAATGCAACTGAACAGAAGACCCAGAAATAAACCCACACACTTATGGACACCTGATCTTTGACAAAGATGCCAAAACCATACAATGGAAAAAAGATAGCATCTTCAACAAATGGTGCTGGTCTAACAGGATGTCTACATGTGGAAAAATGCAAATAGATCCATACTTATCACCCTGCACAAAACTGAAGTCCAAGTGGATCAAAGACCTCAACATAAAACCAGACACATTAAATCGGTTAGAAGAAAAAGTGGGGAATACCCTTGAACTCATTGGCACAGGAGACAACTTCCTGAACAGAATACCAACAGCACAGGCTCTAAGAGCAACAATCAATAAATGGGACCTCATGAAACTGAAAAGTTTCTATAAAGGAAAAGACATTGTTGTCAAAACAAAACAACTGCCTACAGATTGGGAAAGAATCTTCACCAACCCTTTATCTGACAGAGGACTCATATTCAGTATATAGAAAGAAGTAAAGAAGCTGAAAAGCAGCAAACCAAGTAATCCAATTAAAAAATGGGGAACAGAGCTAAACAGAGAACTCTCTGTAGAGGAATATCAAATGGTAGAGAAACACTTAAAGAAATGCTCTACGTCATTAGCCATTAGGGAAATGCAAATCAAAATGACCCTGAGATTTCACCTTACATTCATCAGAATGGCCAAGATGAAAAACTCAAGGGACAACACATGCTGGAGAGGTTGTGGAGAAAGGGGAACCCTTCTTCACTGCTGGTGGGAATGTAAACTTGTACAACCACTCTGGAAATCAATCTGGAGCTTTCTCAGACAAGTAGGAATAGTGCTTCCTCAAGATCCAGCCATACCACTCCTAGGCATATATCCAAAAGGGGCTCAAGTACACAATAAGGACATTTGCTCAACCATGTTTATAGCAGCTTTATTTGTAATAGCCAGAAGCTGGAAACAGCCCAGATGCCCCTCAACTGAAGAATGGATGCAGAAATTGTGGTACATCTACACAATGGAATATTACTCAGCAATGAAAAATAAGGAAATCATGAAATTTGCAGGTAAATGGTGGGACATGGAAAGGATCATCCTGAGTGAGCTGTCCCAGAAGCAGAAAGACTCACACGGTATATATACTCACTCATATAGACATATAACATAGGATAAACCTACTAAAATCTGTACATCTAAAGAAACTAATCAAGAGAGAGGACCCTGACTAAAATGCTCAATTCCCATCCGAAAGGCAAAGAGGATGGACATCAGAAGAAGAAAATAGGGAACAAGCTAGGAACCTGTCACAGAGGGCCTCTGAAAGGCTCTGCCCTGCAGACTATTAAAGCAGATGCTGAGACTTATGGCCAACTGTTGGGCAGAGTACATTAAGTAAGAAGTGGGAAAGAGTAAGAGCTGGAAATGATGGGAACCCCACAAGGAGAGCAACAGAACCAGAAAATTTGAACACAGGGGTCTTCCCAGAGACCCATACTCCAACCAAGTACCAGGCATGGAGATAACCTAGAACCCCTGCACAGATGTAGTCCATGGCAGTTTAGTGTCCAAATGGGTTCCATAGTAATGGGAAGAGGGACTGCCTCTGACATAATCTGATTGGCCTGCTCTTTGATCACCTCCCCCTGAGTGGGGAACAGCCTTACCAGGCCACAGAAGATGACAGTGCAGCCACTCCTGACGTGATCTGATAGACTAAGATCAGAAGGAAGGAGAGGAGGACCTCCCCTATCAGTGGACTTGGGGAGAGGCATGCGTGAAGAAAGGGGAGGGAGGGTAGGACTGGGAGGGGAGGAGAGAGGGGCTCATGGGGGGGATACAAAGTGAATAAAGAGTAATTAATAAAATAAAATTCAATTAAAACAAAACAAAAAATATTACATAAGAGAAGCTGTTTTTCAACTTCTTAAATGACAAAAATCCTTCACTACCTTCTAAGTTTTAGATTTCTGGCTGCAACACCTATCCAAGTTACTGATATCAGCAATATACAATGTGGAGAGTAAAACTGTCTTCTACTGGCTCTGTGGTCCTAGGTCAATCACTTAAGCTCTCGGAGACACTCTCCCATCAGTGATATGGGACTAGTGCTGTGGCCCTCTTCTTTTTATGAAATAAAGATGTTTATAATGATTTCCTAGTACAGCTGCTAACACAAAACATATATCCATTTCCTAATAAAAAAGAAGAAAAATAGTAAAACTATTATTTAAATAAGATTACATCTCTTGGTGTGCAAAAGATTCAACAATATATGGAGAAAGGGAATGTGTACTCTACTTATATGTGTCTGCGTAATACATGTATTTGTGTAGATGGCTTTCCTTTTCTGTGTGTGTCTGTGTATGACATTACAGCCCTAGAAAGGAGATGCGGAGGGGATTGCAATGCAGTCTCTTCAGGAGATTAGTGCTAATAATTGTGAGGGATCAATTCCATGCCAAGGTCTCATTCTTAAACCGTGCTGATGCCTAATACAGATGAATAAAAGCCTCTGCCCATCCACCTAAAAAAGCTGTATGAAACTTTCTTAAACTTTCATCCCGACATCAAGCATACATAAGGATGAGTTACATATGTGATAACAAACTATAACACTAGGAGAGATAGAAGACTTCACACTAGAGCAACTGAAAATACTGCTGAGTTTATAAAAGGTCTTAGTATCAAAATGATGAATTTTAGTGTAATTCTACAGACAATACCTAGCTTACATCGTAGATGGGCAGGGGGTAAGGTTATGAAAGGTAAGTAAAAGAAACTATTATCTATCATCAGTGCTTATATCTCTACTATAAAATAAAAATTCAAATCAACCTGTTTGTACATAGATATTAATGACAAAAGCAAAAGCATTATTAAACCATAAATTATGAGTAAACGAAAATAAACTAGGCCCTTAAGTTAAACAATTGTACACATTCTCTATGAATAAACTAAACCAGGATTTTTTTTTTTTTCTTCTTGTTTTGGGGGACTGAAACTAGAGTCTTACACATGTTTAAAAACACTATAGCCTAGCTCCTAATATATATATATATATTTCTCTCTGTAGCCTTGGCTGTCCTGGACTTGCTTTATAAAGCAGGCTGCCCTGAACTCACAGAGAACCACCTGCACATGCGTCTCTGAGTGCTGGGATTACAGGTGTGCACCACTGTATCTGGCTTTTTTTTTTTTAAATAATTTATTTTACTTTTTATTTTATGTGTGAAGGTGTCAGATTCCTTGGAATTGGTGGTACAAACGGTTATAAGCTGCCATGTGGGTGCTGGGAATTGAACCCGGGTCCATTTGGAAGAACAGACAGTGCTCTTAACCACTGAGCCATCTCTCCAGCCCCTGGCTTTTTTTTTTTTTTTAAAGAGTAATCATCTCATTTTTTTATAGCAAATACAATATGATACCCACTAGCCACACAAACTACTATTAACTCTTAAAGCATGACAAGTAGAGACTCTTAAACCTAAGAGTGATATAAAATTACTGACCATCATATTCCACAGTACAGTTCTAGAAATGTTGTCTTACTATAATTTTCTTATAAAAGAAGAAACTTAAAAACGATTGACTTTCAGGTATTAAATGGATAACAGTAAATTATGAGTTAAATAACAGTGGCATTTCCAGTATAAAATGTTAGAGTCTGATATAAAAGCTTCTCTTCATGAGGCAGCCACCATAAACCACCGCTAGCTTACTATAAACAGGCTTTCAGAGCATTAGTACACCAACATACCAGGGTTCCATTTACATCCTGACTCAGGTTCTGCATCTCCCCTACAATGAAAGCAACCAGGTATGTGCTCATTTTCACACTTTCAGAAAACTCATCCTGGATAAGTCCTTCTTCTGCAGGGACTGATGACTTCTATAGCCAAAGGAAAAAAGATGACAGTTTTGTAATTAAAAGAATCAATGACAAACTAAAAAACTCATACAGGTAATAGTTGCACATTTTAATCTTTCAACACAAATTTCTGGAGGGCATAGCCCTGGTTTTAGTTTCATCTACCACACTTGATCAAGAAGACACAAAGTAATGAGAACCTCAACATTACTCTCAATATATTCAAGTTACAGGGAGCATTTTAAAATTATAGCATAACTGAAATCCTTCCCTGACCACAGAACCTTAGGATCACTGACTTCAAGAAGGAACTGTAACTAAGATATCCCCTAACATGATCTAGTGCTCCATGGAGGATTCCAGGAAAATGAAATCAAAGGCGTTAAGTCTCAAGAGAAGTCTGCAACAGACTAAAGGTGGAGAAATACCAGAAACTCTTGGAATTCACTAACCATCAATCAGGTTTTTACTCTGGGTTACTAGACAAGTAGGTGCCCACCTCTTTAAGAGATTGATTAAGGTGAAGAGTTGGGCTATGAGTGGGGCTGTGACAATGAAAAATCATGTTATTTGTTGTCTATGGGGATAGACTGCATTACCTTCTGGCTATAGCTCCTCTTCACCTCTAGCCATACATGTTCTAGGAAGCACTACACAGGCTGCACAAAACCAGTCAGGTAGACACAAAAGGAACCCAAGTTCTGTTTAGCAGAACTTCTTGTTGTTAACCCTAATACCTCCCACACAGTAAACATCCAAGAAAGAAGCTCCTCTTCTTGTTGTCTATTTCCACATGAAAACAATCCAAAGTTTCATTTGCCAAAACCAAGAATAATCACAATTCCATACTGTTAACACTGCTTAAAAGAGCAAATACACTATGTCTGAAGTAATTTCCTGGGCTTGCACTAGTTCACAGTATTCTTATTTGTGCAACTGGAGAGCAGGAAGACACCTACCCATGCATTCTAAGTCCTGCAGGGTCTCTTTCCTTCCTCAAGTGCTCCTCAGACTTACAAAGTCCTTTTTTTTCCATTTTTATTTAATTATTTCAGAAAGAATATATATTTACATATGATTCTAAATACTCCTACCAATAGTACAGTAAAAAGGAATCCAACTGTTCTCAGAGATAAGAGATCTATCCAAAGATTTTACCTTCATGTCACAGTACCTTAGGCATATTTGATAACGCAGTGTGGTGCTCGTTCCTTGTGATCTTGATGATAAAAGTGGCCTTAAATGCTGGTTCATCAAAACAAGGAAAAGCAGATCTCGCTGCCAGAGGTTCAAACTGAGTTGCTGCAAAGTACCTAAAAACAAATGCATATGCAATGCCACAGTTATGGAGTGCCTACTACTCGACAGGACACCCTGCCAACTGCCGGAGGCATAGAAACAAATACATTACAATTTCAGACTTTAAAGGACCCACGATTAACTAAGGCAGGCAGAGGACTAGAGTGGACAGAATTTTCTAATAGGCTTCAAATCGTATCCTAACAGTGAAAGCACATTAGTGGGATCAAATGGCATGAAACAAATTCTGCTGAAGCTGAACACTGTAAAGAAACGAGTACCAAGAATCCCTGCTAAAGTATAGAACTGAAAAGTGCCCTTGAGAAAGAGGACAGCACAAGGCAAGAAGGCAGCATGCGTCTATATGCTGTGGCAGCTGCTGGGCGTGGTGGGATTCACAAAGGCAGGCTCTTAAAGGGTCCATAGGGAGGATTGTCATTATTTGCTACTAGGCATATGGGTTTGCAACACTGCATCTCAAATCTACAACATGCATTTTCATGAAAATAAAAAAAGTTGTTCTTTAACAGTGTTCTGTTTTCCTTTTTCTCTTTTTCAGAGATGATCAGAAATGTTTTTCTCCCTTCCACACCACAACAGCAGCAGTTAAGACTGTAATACTTACAGAAGTCCTGAATTACAGGTCATGTGAAAAGCCACCCCCACCAAAAAAAAAAAAAAAAAAAGCAAGGGCTAATGATAGATTCTTAAGCCCCCTTCTTTTACCAGCTTATATACACCAGCCACAGGCACTCTGGTCTTGGCACCTTCTGTTCCTCAGTCCTTAGACTCCACTTTTAGAAGATAAACAGGAAAGAGGGAATTGGGTTTGGAGTCTACATTTATTAACCTTATGATTCTGTTAAGTCTATAACCTATATCTCAGTTTTGTATATTATATATTATGACTGGGATATGATTACCTGCACCAAGTCCAGGGTTTTGTAAGAATCCAGGAAAACTTTACATAAAACAAAACATTTGTATACTATGTAGGTGGTTTTATATATATGCATATTACTAATACTAGGTAACTACAACTTTATCCCATACTTAAAATGACCATGCCTTCTGATAAGGCTGGGCCCAGGAAAGGCAGAATTAACTTCATGTCATATTTCCATGCTATTTCTAACATTCATTCCTTTTGGTCACCCACTGCCAACATTCTTACCTAATAAACAGAACAGTTTAATTATATCCCTATTACTCAAATTAGGCGAGCTATTTATGGAAAAAAAGTGACATCATAATGTTCTCTGTTTGAGATCAGATCTCAAATAGCCCAAATTGGCCTCATATTCACTATCTACAATCCCCCCAACACACACACCTTGAATTTCTGATCCTCCTGCCTCTACCTCCCAAGTGCTGGGACTGTGAGTGCATTCTATCACACCTGACTATAGATACTAACATTCTAAGATAAAACAAGCAAATTTTAAAAAATTCCTTAAATTATTATTAAAGCAATGTAACAACTATCTCACACAAATCTTTGAGAGGGTTACTTTTTGAAGATACTTTATTCTAAATATCTGATGCCTATTCTTTCCTTGTGACCGTTTTCTTTCAGAAACACTTGTTACAACATTTCCTCAAGCCTATTTAAAGACAGGAATTAGCTGAGAGTTGAGCAAGAGAATCCCAAGCACTGGCCAAAATAATGTGTAAAAGAAAAGAAGTGTGAACTAGGAAAGTAGTTCAGTGCAGTGAAGAGGTTTGAGTTCCCTCTCTGCTACCTGTCAGCCCTGTGAGACTATTATTACTTTACGCATATTTTTTCTTGGTATTGTGAATATATTAGTGAATATATTCTTACTGAGACAGGGTAGAAGACTAAAGAAATATAAAGTGTTTTGAGCAGTTTCTAGCACTTTAGTTCCCAATAAGTACTGGCTACTGTTATCCTTAGTTTTAGGGAATAGAGTTCACCGTGATAGGAAAGTAAGGGCTGTGAGAGAAAACAAAGGCCAGATAAAGAAGATCTTCAAAATGTTACCAACAAGAACTGTGGAAGGACTGTACACCAAAGGCCATCATGAACACCTCTACTAGCAGAAACAAGTGCAAAGACAAGAATGGGCATAGATTACGTTGGTAACAGTGTGGAAAGTAGGTAAAGTTTCCTGACCACAAGCAGTGTCTATTCAAAGCATATGACATTTACAGACATTGTGATTTTCCAGGCAACTATAGCACTGGTGGCATAGTGATGAGAATAGATGCCTTCCAAGCTACAAGGAATGCATCCCCCAATCACTTTATCAGTTTAAATACTTATTCTAACTGTAGTGGGGGTAGAATAAAAATCTCTGTCAAAATAAAGCAAAATTGTAAGGCATACACAAAATTGCTTAGGATTAATAGTTTTCAGATATCCTGAAGGTAAGAATAATCTAAACTTTATTCTTTATCAAGAAACAATCATGTGGGGTCTTCACTTTAACAGGCAGGTAACTAAACTTAGAGTCTGTTTGTTCCAAAATTTCAGTTTAAGATATTATTTTAAATTCGAATTCTTACTTTCAAGGACCCACATTTTTCTAGCATGTGTCATAACTCAATCCAGCCCATGCCAAGAATTTACATATGCTCATACTAAATTTCACTGGATTCTACTGTACAATATCATTTTTCCCATTATGTAGCAAAGGTCCAAAATTTCCAGGAAATAACCAGATTAGATGAGATAGCTCTGAGCCGTCTCTCGGAGTCCTGTTTCCATTATTAACTCACCATTTCATTCATTCATTCATTCATTTGGTTTTTCATGACAGAGTTTCTCTGTGTAGCCTTGGCCATCCTGGAACTTGTTCTGTAGAGCAGGCTGACCTCAAAATCTAAGTCATTGTTTCATAACGTGAGTGGTGTGTGTGTGTGTGTGTGTGTGTGTGTGTGTGTGTGTGTCTATCTACCTACACATCATCTCTATCTATATATGTTGATCATTCTACATATAAAATGTGTAATGCAAATAGGGTATTAAATACTATATTTCCTAGGGATAATAGCGATTACAAACCAAGAACTAAAGCTAAAATCTCCAAGGCTACTATTTCAATCACAGATTTGTGATCAGTTTTAGAGAATCATTCAACTAAATAATCAACAACTAAAATATACAGACTGCAAGATATTTGTTTAAAAAGTGAAAAAAATAATTTATCTGACATTCATAGTAGTTGCAAAAATCTAACCATGTTTCAAATTTAAATTATCAGTGTAAAATTCTCAAATGTATGTGAAAAACAGATACAGAATTTGATGTAAAAAGAAAATTACAGCAGTTTTTGATTCTTAATTTTCAACAGAGTGCTGCAGCTTTGTATTAGAAATCTGTTTAGTACTTTGACTAAGAAAGAAGAGAAATAATTTTTTCCATTGACAAAAGCTAAGAAAGAAAATGCCACACATACATACCTCTCTTTGATTTTTTTCAAGACAGTGTTTCTCTGTGTAGCCTTGGCTGTCCTGAAACTCACTTTGTAGAAGCTGGCCTCGCAGAGATTTGCCTGCCTCTGACTCCTGAGTGTTGGGATTAAAGGCATATGCCACCATACCTACCCTGAAAATGGCCATTCTATGGCTAATTAAACATGTCTTGGGTGGAGAAAAAAGAACTAACGTTTTTATTTTCAGTTGGTGAAATTACTCTTTTAAGATTATTTTTTCTTTCAATAAATTGAAAAAAAAATCTCTGAAACACTGAACATAACAATAAGAATATATTAATATATGTTAGCCAAATGGCCAGTGTCAGTATTTCTTAAACTGGTCTACAGAGTATTATAAGAGCATTCTCTGCTAACATAAAACACATACAGAAGTTAGTATGATGTGGAAAGGATAGGAGCTCTACAAGGACCAAACATATCTGGGCACAGGGTCTTTTCTGAGACTGACACTCAACCAAGGACCATCTATGGATATAACCTAGAACTTCTGCTCGGATGTGGCCCATGGGTTTTCCAAAGTAAGGGGAACACGGACTATTTCTAACAGGATTTCAAGGGCAGGCTGTTTGACACCCCCCCCCCCCCCGGGGAGGAGCAGTCTGCTAGGCCACAGAGGAGGACTTTGCAGCCAGCCCTGAAGATACCTGATAAAACAGGGTCAGATGAAAGGGGAGGAGGTCCTCCCCTATCAGTAGACTTGGAAAGGGGCAGGGAGGAGACCAGGGAGGGAGTGTGGGGTTGGGGAGGGAATGAGGGAGCGGGATACAGCTGGGACACAGAGTTAACAAAATGTAACTAAAAAAAAAATAATAATAATAAAAAAAAATAAAAAAAATAAAACACATACAAATAGTGCACAGATGAGACATGACACTATCATTATATACAAATATTCTATAGAAATATACACAACGTCTTTAATAAAATTCAGTTATGATATGACCATGAAGATTAAACTTCAGAGTATGATTCAAATAGGCTGTGGAATACTCTTATATTTTGTCCCTCCCACCACCTTTTTTTTTTTTTTTTTTTTTCTGAGACAGGGTTTCTCTGTGTAGCTCTGGCTGTCCAGGACTTGCTTTTTAGAACAGGCTGGCCTTGAACTCAGAGATCGGCCTGCGTCTGCCTCCTGAGTGCTGGGATTACAGGTGTGTACCATTACTGCCCAGCTTCACCTTTTTTTTTTTTTTTTTTTTTGAGGTGGATACTTTCCTACACTTTTAAAGTTTCCACACTCAAACTAGCATTTTTAAAAGAACCAGGGGGCTGGAGAGATGACTCAGCAGTTAAGGGTACTGACTGCTCTGCCAGAGGACCCAGGTTCAAATCCCAGCACCCATATGGCAGCTCACAATTGTCTGTACTCCAAGATCTGATATCTCATATAGACATATACCTAGGCAAAACACCAATGCACATAAAATAAAAGTAGTTTTTTTAAAAGTAAACCAGTAAAGATTAAGGACACTAAGAATGATATATTCAGTATGCCACATTTCACACCCTCTTTCTCCAACTCCTTAAAGCCCTTCAGGTCAGAAAAATAGCCCATATCCCCAACTCTGCCTCCTGTAGCTTCATGGAAGGAAGGCAATTAATACTCATCTCATAAAACATGAAAAGCCCAAGAGAAGTATATTCTTCCATATTACCATTCTATTTTGCACATAACTTTCTAAATATAAAACCTCTATGCCAAAGGATCTCCATTTCAGAAGTTACATGCAGAAGAGCATAGAACAAGAACCATTTCGGAGTTTTACATACTTTTTCTCGTTATTTGTATCTGTGTAGGTGATGCCATAAAACCCATAGTAAGAGTTAGATATATTTGCTGAATACTCTATCTTCAAGGTATAATTGTGCCCTGCTAGAAGGGGTTCAGGGGCCACAATAGCGATTTGTTCATGATATGGGTATTCCAGGAATTCAACTTGTTTTTCTTGACTTGAAACTGCTGACATAAATGTCACTCTTGAAATATTATGTCCTGTGCTATGGAGAATGATATTCCATGTGGCTTGAAGAGCCTGAAGTGAAATTGTCACAGAGCCCCTGAATGTCATTGATGTTAGGTTTGGATGTAGGCTGAGTTCATAGCGCTGAGGAATGACGGCAGTGGGAAGCCTAATTTGTGCCCACGGAAACAATTTCCCATTTGTGGCAATTGGCTGGATTAGGCCTGCTGACTGGTTAGTTTTGTGGCAGCCTTCTTTGGTAAAGGTACATCTAGGCAGTAGATAAATCACCATGATTATAGAGACAGCAACCACAATGACAAAAACACAGATAATTAAGGTCCTGGCAGAGGGTACTGAACAAGTCCCATCTGGACTCTGCCTGTAGCCAGTTGCACTGTTCCGAAGTCCTGAGCTTCTGTTCATAAAGGACATGCCCAGCAGCTTTGCAGATGACTCATAATCCTCTTCATCCTCATCCATCTCATGCTCACCAAGACCTCGCACCAGCAGCCTTGAACCCCGGGGCTCATATTCAACTTCATCAGGTTCCAGAGGATGTAAACAAGGTTCTTTGGCTAAATCTACCACATCTGGTTCTTCTTCAAACATGCTATTTTCAATCATATTCCTTGGAAGCTGAAGTCGATCTACAAAATTAAGACAAAAAGATAAGACCAAAGTGGTGGAAAGCTCATAATACAATGCTTCTTGGAAACACAAAACTTGATTTTTTACTCACCTGATTTTTTAATCACTAAGAATTATTTCCATTTTAAAGCTATTTGAATTAAATAGAGGCTTTATGGAATTTTTGGGTTATTCATTAAAAACTCAAGTATGTATAAAAAAAGCACACTACAGACATTACTCAAAATCAACAACAAAAACAAAAAAAATTACTAAGTAGGCTAATATTAAAGAAAGAGGGTATAAAGATAATTGTTTTTCTAGTTATAATTCTGTCACAGATTTTTCATTGTTGATGGTCACTAAATACATAAAAATATATCTGAGTGAAAAAAAATGGCTATTATACCTGCATAGAAGCTTACTCAGATGTATATAGGCTTGAGGCCTGGCTAATTTTGGTGTGTGATATATATTTTATTTTATTTTTTCTTTTAATAATAAAAGTATATTAATTTTTTTTAAACAACTGTGATTTCATAGTACTTTTCTTAATACAGGCCTACTAAACACCCTGAATCCCTGGCTTGCCTTTAGAGGATATCACTCTGGCCATCCCTGAACAGTTAGGAGTCAGTGGGATCAAAGACAATGTACTCAGTGTCTTTCTTCTGGGTCTGGACACCAGAAGCCCAGAATTCTTGACCAAATACTGCAAACCAGGTTGTAAGACCTGTACAGGTCTCCTTCCTCCTGAGTTCCATTCTCCCTCAGGTAAATCACAAACTGGTCTGCTTGCTTCTAGGCTCATCAAGAGAAAGGGCTATTGTTTTTCTCAGGAGAAAAATGTTTCCACCCCATAGTAAGCTGAAAGTAGAAAAGTACTTATGAAATTTTGGTAAGCAAGAAATAGTAACATGGACAAAACAACTTAAAAAACAGGTCAAACTACAGTTTACCCTTCTGTAGCATTCACAAGTACAACAGTTCCCACCTTTAAAAACAGAACAAACACCATGAGTGCCAGCATATCCTGAGACAGGAAAGTGGTAGGACCTTTTCTAAGCTACAACCACACACCCTGCCAACAATCACTGAAGAGAAAGGTCTCAAGAGACAAAGGGATAAATAATACTATATATCTATCAATAACTCAGTATTAGCATATTCAATATTTTGCATTCAAAATCACACCTTTTAAGAGATTTCAAGAGTTTAACAAATTGAAATCACGTTTAAGTTGTTTTCACAAGGCACTTTACAGTTATCATTTCCAATCTTTACAACAGTCCTATAAAGTGGCATAAATTAAAATTAAGGCATGAAAAAACAAACAGAAATGGATTAATTTGATTTCAAAGCTATACAGATATTTAATTATATATTTGAGCCCAGGTCTAAAAAATTTATTTTAAAATTTCATATTCTCATTAATGTACTGCATCATCTGACTCATGTTCATTTAACAAAAGGGAATGGCTCTTAACAATTTGGTATCCGGAAATGAAATTTTTAAAAATATTATTTCATCATCAGTAGGATAAAACTGATATTAACTACTTAATATCCAGAAAAATATATTTCTCAATAAAGAGTAAACAATGATAACTCATAACTCACAAAATAAAAGCACTGCTAATATTAGGATAAAGTTTAAAGAAGACCACAGTACCCAAATTATATTGCAGCTTTTTTTTTTTTTTTTTTCCTGTCTTTTTGAGGCATGGCTTTTCTGTGTAGCCTTGGCTGTCCTGGATTTGTAGAGCAGGCTGGCTTTGAACTGATAAAGCTCTGCCTGCCTCTGTCTCCCGAGTCTAGGGATTACAGGTGTGTGCCACAACACCCAGCAACACTACAGCTTCTTAAAAGCAGACTCCTTCCCTTCTAGGCATGAATTTCAGGAAATTAGTTAGTGACTTGTGTGCATTGATCAGATCCTACAAGCACCAATCACACTAGTTTGGGGAGTGCTCAGGCCATAGCACACTGTTCTACATCTGTGAGAAAGTCAGATTAATTCTCTTTCCCACAGGCCCTTTTTCCTTAGTTCCTTCTGTCTGGATGCCACGATTTCCTCTTTTTACCTTCATTTCAGTTTGATACACAGCTGTTATTGGATAACTAAACTCACTAGAACATGAATCAAGAAAACTCATTTCCTTTTACCAGTAAGCCGTCATTCCCACTTTTGTGTACTTCTGATATAGGAACTCGAGTAAGATGGCCAACCAATTTCTACTTCTCTACTCTGAAATTGGTAAAAATTATGTGCATGCCTGTAATCCTAGCACTCTGGGAAGCAGAGGCAGGTAGATCCCTGTGAGCTCTAGGCCAGCATGCTCTACAAAGCGAGTACAGTACAGCCAAGGCTGCACAGAGAAACCCAGTCACAACAACGACAATAAAATTATGCTACCTTAAAAAGATTCCTCTGAATAAAACTTCTACTCATTTATAGGTATAGATTTAGCAAGTGCTCACCTGCCCATCCCCTGTTAATGGTGTTTATAGAGAACAGTGGGTACAATATCCTGTTTTTTATTATTTAATTTTCTAAGCTTCCAATATTGTTTCCATTGCCTGTGATGGTTGGTTTTAATGGCTATTTGTTTGGGGTTGTATTAAAAGTTACTTTCTGTTATTGTGATAAACACCAAGAACAAAATCAACTTGAAGAAAAGTTTTTGGGGGTCTCTTTGTTGGCTTTGGATCCACAGGCTTAAGCCACTTTAGCAGGTAACATATGACGACATACCTACATGAACAAGAAGCTGGCTGATCACATTTCCATCCAAACACAGGAAGCAGAGAGAGAAAGCAGGAAGTGGGGTTAGGCTATAAACTCAAAGCATGTTATGATGACAGACTTCTCCCAGCAAGGTTCAACCTCCTAAGGTTTCCATAATCACCCAAAGCACCACCAAGTGGGGACCGAATGTTCAAATACATAAGCCCATGTGGGTCATTTCTCACTCATACCACCAAAGGGGTTATTTCATTCATGCAATCTCACATTGAAATATTAAAAATTGTTTGTAAGCCTTTAGTAAATTCTTAACCTTTCTGATGTATTTCAGCTCCTGTGAGATGAGATGTTCCTTAAGTGCCTCACTCACCTCATGTAGACAAATATGAGCTCTAGTCAGCATGGTTAATTCAGTAAATGTCTATCACTGGGTAACGCCAGAGCTTAATATTAGAGCATTCCCATTAACCACCTAGGATCCATTTTGAGCCTGGCTTTTGTCTTAGGGATCTACTGTTGTGATAAACGCCATGACCAACTTGGGATGGAAGGCATTTACCTTACAACTCTGAGGTCACACTCATCACTACGAGAAGCTGGGCAGAACCTGGAGGCAGGAACTGACAGAGAGGTGAGATGCAGTGTGCTGCTTCCTGGCTTGACCCTCCTAACTTGTTCAGCTTGTTTTCTTACACATCCCAGGACCACCTGCCCAGGGATGGCACTAACCACAATGGCATTCCCTCTCACATCAATGACCAACCAAGAATGTACCCTCCTGACTTGCCTGCAGGCCAGTCCTGTGGAGGTGTTCTCTTGATTAAGATTCCTTCTTCCCAGAGGTCTGTACCTTGTGTCAAGCTGACATAAAAATTAGCCAGCACAACTGCTTAGACACGATTTGTTTAAAGCCAAGGAATATGTAACAGCTGATCATTTACCCTGTCCTTTCTGCATCAAATCTGAGAATTGGCCAGTCAGCGCTCTGCCAAAAATGCAGATAACATTTTTATTATTAAGCACCTCACCAGATTAATATCTACATAGAACTTTACTCTTCCAGTAATAAAGCAAACCAAATTATCTGCTGCTATATTATACTGAATATTAGAAGCACACAATTTTGATGTATATAATCATCTCCATTTAAATACCAACCTGGGAAAACCTTTTATTACAGGCCAATCAAAAGACAGCATTTTAAACCTGTTTTTTTTAATGTCTTAATTCTTATGTAAATACACTTTAATTTTAGCATAATTACAAGGTTACTCTATACTGTAAATGGACTTATTCCTTCTTAAAAAAAAAGCAGAATCCTTTTTAATATATCATTTTCCTCTTTTCCCTTTTCAAAAATAAAAGAAACAAAAAGGAAAGTTGCATATGTATATATATAAATGGTAAAGGTATAATTTAATTTAACTGGAGTACAAATGTGTTTTCTTAGTAAGTATAAGTAGCTTGATATATAACAATTCATATTATAAAGCTTTCACATTTGAAAAATAAAAACAAACAAACAAACAAACAGTATCCTAAAGAAACAGTGTATTTTCTTGCTGTTTTGTCTGTGAGCCTGTCCTTACTGGCTGAACCATCACTATAGCCAAGAAGCAGAGTTTTCTCAAGCCTTCCAAAGTTACACACAGATGCTGTCTGTAACCCAAAAACTCCTAGTTATACTTTCACTACTAAATAACATATATCCATGTGGCTATAATCTAAGAAAACTGAAAACATTTCTATCCCTTAGACGCTGTGCCTAGACTCAATGCTTTTGGACCAGAGCCAATCTGCAAAATGTTTATTACCTTTCTATGACAGGACAGTCATATAAAATTAGCTTCTAAAACCTTTTATTACAATTGGAAAGAGTAATTTTATGTCTGTTGGATTCAATGTTAATTAAAATGATTATTTTTACATATCTTTTTAAACTTTTCTAATAATTCTTTTTATATAATCATAATTTTAGCAATGGATTAAAGGTTTCAATAAACATCTAAATAAAAAAATCTGAATAAAAACAAAAACAAGACACTCTAGTTGTTCAGGTCTGATAATCTGGAAGCAATGGGTCTGGATCACGGCAGTCCAAGTAAAGAAGTCCTAGGAGGTGGGGTAGGGTTAGATGCTACTAGTCATATGACAGATGTAAAATGTACAGTGATACTCCTTTGGCTTGGATGGGCCAGTCACGTGGAGACAAAGAGGGAAATTCACATCTATCAAGTCCTACAAATACACTCTGGCCAGGAAAACTGAAAGAAG